AAGTTTTGAGGTGAGAAATCAGCTGTGTAGATTTCAAATATTGACAGTTTTACGAGAAGTGATGGCGGAACAAAAATGTGCTTGAATATTTCCGAAGTTGAGGAGCTCCGCAAGTGGCGGCGGGGGAAGCCTGTGCCAACCCGCGGGAGGAGCGTGTGAGGCCGGCCAGCCGCCCGCTCACAGAGTCCTCTGCTCCCACCGTCACACAGACCGCTGCAGCAACGACGACAGAGGAAAACACAGCTGGAAGGTTTTCATACCGCTTATCTGTCTTTACATTCTGGGGAATGTTGAAACGGTTTAACTTAAACAAGAGAAAGCTGTGTGGATCGCTGGTGTGTGTGTCGCATTGAATATTAACGTTACGTCACGGCAGGTGTGTGTGACGTCGCTATGATGACAAGCTACGTACTATCTCTGGGTACTACCTGCAATGGAAAACGGAGCAGGGCCGAGTAGAGTCGAGTCTATCGATCTGTGCTATGGTAGCATTTTTCAGCAAGGCAGCATAGAGCGGCAACGTTTAGTCCTAAGACGATGCAACTCCGACTCTGTTTGGGCCTGGAAATTCTCAATCACAACCGGTAAGTATGCTTTATTGGTTGTGAATTATATTTAAAATAAACACAGCGCTTGAACAGTCTGTGAAGTTACATTGTAACACAGCTAAAGTTATAGCTATAATACTAACATGACGTAACTTTTTATGTAAAATTGAGGAGTTGAAATATGGTGATTGTTTTTAGTGGTTTATTGTAAAATGTGGAACAATGATGTTGTGTGGTTGTGGAATTGTGAGTAACTTATACCATCTGTTAGGTTACGGTCGCAGTCTGAAGCAATAAGCGGCTTTGAGTTGGATCACACTACCTTGTTTCTTACGACCCGCCCTTCTGATGCTTCTGACTGGCTAGTAGTCCTTACCTGGGAACTGCGTATGTGCAACTCCCAACAAAGATTTTGTACAAGTAAGATGTCTGTTCTGGTACAACCCCTAAACAAGATTTTGAACCTGAAAATGAGCATAATACCACCTCTTTAAGCGAGAACCGTGGAAGCTCAGATAGAGAGAGATATCTGTGAGTCTATTTTATAAAGCTATTTGTCTCACACCCCCTGGTTTACAGAGGCTTAGAGGCACATGGGAGGGAGAGCCAAATGTCACAATTGATGATGACGAGTGGAGAGAGGTCTGGAGATATGCTAAATCAGTTTCAGTCTGCAATTGTGCCAAAGCAACACAGTTAAAGAGTATACATAGAGTGCACATATCCCCCAACCGCAGGCATCACGTCGATCCTGCCATCTCACCCATGTGCCTTAAATGCATGACAGAAATTGGTACCTTAACTCACTGTTTTTGGTCATGTTCAAAACTGCAAATGTATTGGTCTAATGTATTATCCAAAATAGAAAAGATATTGGATTTAGAACTGGGGATGGACCCTTTGTCTCTCATATTGGCCTCCCAAGCCGACGCTTAACATCAATACATATTAAGAGGTTGTATTGTATTCTTACTTATGCAGCGAGGAAGAATATTTATAGAATATTGATTGTAGTGGATTAATGAAAAAATACCAACTGTTAAAGGCTGGCAAAGAGTGATGTTTGATTTAGTGCCATTAGAGTACCTTACATGTATTTTACAATACAAAACGGACCATTTTTATAAAGTGTGGGAACCCTATTTGAAAAATGTAGAACCTGGTGTCTCTAATATCATGCTGCAGGGATTTTCTTGACTGCTCATACCACACACTACTGTAACCCAGAGGGTCATTTGTTTATGGTTATTTTATTTTTTTTGTTATTTATTTTTTCTTATCTATATGGGCCTGAGCTGGTGTTTGTTTCTTTCTTTCGACTGATTAGTTTTGTTTGCCTGTTTGTTTGTTCTGCTCTTTGTTTCTCTAGACTATGCCATGTGACCATCCTGTACTTGTAAAAGTGGAAAATTAATAAAAACACTATTTATAAAAAAAAAAAAAAAAAAAAAAAAAATAGATGAAACCAGCAAATGTTTTTAAAAAAATGAAACGATTAATCAATTATCAAAATAGCTGATTAATTTTATTTTGATCGCCTAATCGTTGCAGCTCTAATTGTATCTAGATATGTTTTAACCTGATTACATCTACACCTGGTATTAATGCTCTCTGGTGTCCACACTGAGATCCAAAAGATTGCAAAAGAAAGAAGGATGTGACAAAGGTCAAAAAATTGCTCTGTAACTATAGACTGTATAATAACGTTCACTTTCCAGCATCATCTCTGAAACTTAAGTTCCGCTTGGCATGGTTTCCTTGCGCTACCTTTCTTCTTCCTTTGTGTTATTTTAAAAGTGTAAACTGAGTTTATTTCAACAGTGTGGGACTTCATGTTCACAAACGGATATGTTATGCTCACCAAAAACATGAGCATGTTGTCTTGAAGCGCATTCATGTGCAACAATGCATGGACACATTGCCTGTATGCGCTTTTATTTGTGGAAAACTGTGGCTAAACTGTGGTTTATTGCCAGGAACATTTTCATATACGAGGAATTTGCCTTGATATATTGGTGCTTTAGAACATAAATATAGAAATATAAATATAGATAAAGTAAAAAGATAAAAAAAATTTTTTACAAGTATACAAAATAATACAATAGTACTAATTATGTGCAAAAATGAAGAATAATTGAAGAAACCAGATGGTCAATTATGTGGTTAAACTTTTTCTTTATGGTCAGAATGTGACAACACTTGACAATTAACAAAACTGAGGTAGAACATTCAAAACTATTGTGATAAAATCTTTTACTAATCATAGTTGTAAATCTTTTTTCCTCAACAAAATATTTTAATAGAAAGATTTAGTGCTAATGTGTTTGTAATTCAAATCAAATATACTGAACATTTACTATATTGTTAATGAGGAAAATTATATTGTGATAATTATCATTATTGTTTTATTGCCCAGCCCTAGTTCAATGTCGACACCATGAAAGTACAGGTGTAAATCGAGACGCATTGTGATAAGCCCTATCCGATCGCAGTTCGATCACCCAAAATGCATTTTTATGCAAGGTGTAAAAGAATCAACACAGACCAGTACAGTGAAGGTGAAAAAAAAAGGGACACGTGGAGGCAATGGACCCCACATCGCGCTCCTGCATGACTTTGAGAGATGGCCGACAATGCTTGTTTACACTACGGCGGAGGAACGAGCAGCTGGTGTTAATCATTGGTTTGATATTCAGACGTAAGAGGCAATGAGGAGGAGGTGGTGGTTTACTCTCTGCACCCACATGAACCTCATATTCTTCTTTTGCTCTGGATGTTAGGACTGTTGGCCCCTCCTCCTCCTCACCACCTCCCCTCATCTGCATCCTCCTGTGTCTTGTTACCTTGCTTCAAATATTTTGTCTGGGAAGGAACCAATCAATCTTAACGCATCAGCGTGTCCATGTGTGTCATCAGGGGGTTTCAGGCGGTGTGTGTCGTGCATGTAATGGCATACTGGCAGTGACAGAGTGGCAGGGATTAGGGAAAGCTAAACAAGAAAGCCACTGGGGGCTGAATCCTCCCTTTGACACAGCAAAAATCCACAGATGGTAACAGTAAAAGTGCTTGACTTCCCTTCATTCTTTTCCACAAGATGGAACGTTTCATGTTCCTCACCAGAACAGGGAACCAGATTTTATAGCGTCTGCAATGGCTGATGGATCCCAAACTTGCCCCATCACATTTCCTAATTTATATGATGAAAAATATTTAAAATCAAAAGAAACCTCTAGCTAAGATTACCTGTTAGGTTACATGTCAAGATGGCTGCTTCATTGTGTTGTAGGGTAATTCACTCCGCCATAGTTTTTTTAAAGTGTTTCTAGAAAGTCACTTCCATTCACAGAGACGTCCGTGTCACTTCTCATGTAGTCTACTTGTTAACTATAACGATATTTCTGACATTAGTCAGTGTGGTGAAGTTATTGTGGCACCCTGTATAGATGTGCTGATGCTGGCCATGAGGACAGTGATAACTGAACAGAGGTCAAAGTCGCGTGGATTGAACAGATGGATGCTTCAGTTTTTCCATTTGGTACTTCAATTTAAAATGGAGATTTTTTTCAGATGTTCTTGTTTGCTTTATATTTTAAGTTGCCTAATGTCATTAGTTGTGCCTGGACAATGTCCCCTTACACTTTTAGTTGTTGTGTAGACAGGACAGAAAACCTTTTGGCATCAGAGCAAAATTCACCATCATGCATTATTCTGCCGAAAGCTACTTTCAGAGAGCTAATGAATTCCAAGATTATTGAAGAATGCAGAAAGACAATGTCTTTTTTTTAAACAAATACACATAATGATGGATGAACATACCAGACCAACAAACACTTACTTGGTTTCAATGGATAGCTGGTTGCTAGTGGCATTGACATGGTGATGTGCAGGTCAAATGACATCTAGACATCAGGTTTAAAGTATTATATGTCATAACTTTGCGGAAAAGGGCCACACCAAAATGCTGTTGAAACTACTGCTGTATGTATGCCTAAAGAAATTTCACATTTTAACAAAATTATTTGGCCTGGTCCTTTAATCTAGATGCCTAGGCCGCTTTTAACCTACAAATTAACCAAGACCGTGCTCACTGGGTTGGATCAAAGCCTGTAAAAAAACTTTCTAAAATCCTCTTACACTGTGTGTTTGTTTGTCTGTCTGCCTGATACCCGTCTGTACATGCACATGCCATAACAGGACATTCCAAACAAATCACACAGATATACACACACTGTATGTAGCACTGTGGTGCATAATGCTACCACATGGCAGCTAAACATAACGAGAAACATCAAAGGAAATTTAATCCAGCACCTCTGTTTTTTCCTCCTCTGTTCAAGTCAGGTCTAGACCGTTTTTTCTTGGCCTACATGATTAGGGGTGTGACAGTGCGTACTCTGCTGAAAATTCTACCAACATTTTGACCTGAAACACATTTATACCCCCCGCCCTCACCTGTCAACCATGTTGGGATCAGCATTTCTGGAAAGCAGAAGCTCCACACAGCGAGCAATTTTGTCTTCACTGGCAGACGCAGTGCAGGTGGCCATCAGCAATGTCCAATGATCTGTTGACAAGAACGCGTTAGTATGGGAAGTGCCTCATCACTTATCTATATATTTTTTTCTGACCAATTAATTCTCATAATTTTGATGCAAAAGATTGCAACTCTTTTTTGAAGCTGGGAAAAACCTAGAAGCTTTATGAAGAGTCCGACAATGTAGGGTTGAAAGAGAACTTTGTTTTATATGAATGTAGTCTGTATTTCTACAAACAGATGTCAGAGAATTCACTAATTGTTTAGTGCAGCAAAGATTAAATTTTACAATGGCCAAGCAGGGGAGGTAGTACTTGTATCACCTAATGAGGTACTATTATATTTATATTTTATATAGTCTCATCAAAATACAACAGTAGAAAATCAAAACAAGTTGGCAAGCATGTGATGCATATTTAATCATTTATATCACATAATTAAGAGTTGGGTATCATTTCCATTTTATCGATTGTGATACTACTTATTGAATCCGGTTGTTATCGAATCTCGGTTCTGATTCCAACCCCTTCACCACAAATCTTGTCACTGCTTGGAGACATTCATCCACTTTCTCCTAGCTTATCTTCCCCTTCATGGCTAAAGTGAAAGGAGTTTCTGTACTAGAGGGGCGTCTCTGTGGACTCGTATCTAAGAAAAATGTAAATTGGAATCATTTGCAGACATCGTTTGTTTACCTTCAATATAAAAAAGTGAATGTCAGCTCATCTGTGTTTTATACCCGAGCGTGAGACGTTGCTATTGTTAGAATTGGCTGTATCTGGTAGACTGCAACATATTGAACAGAGCGTGTTTCTTCATATTAACGCCACATTGAAGTAAATGCTTCATCATATTAAGAGTTGCTGCCTTCCTTGAATTAAATATCCTTATTGCAGTTGTTCCATTCTGCTGTGTTCTCTTTAAGTGAAAAAAGAAGCCAAACTTTTGAGTGTTTGCTGCAGTTCGCCACGGTCCAGGAACGTAAACAAAAGTACTTGCAGACTTTGTTGATGTAACAAATGACGTGACGTTACTTCAGCAAAGCAGGTCCTGCAGAGAAGTATAACTTTTATGGACTGTAAAATGCTCACTGCATTTCAATCAGGAGTATGGCAAAAAGTTAGGAACCAATAAGCAGAATCGAAATGCACGTGTAATCGAGTACATGGTTCTTGGAAATTTGGTGCAGATTCCAACTTGGAACTGACTCGATACAAAACCCTACACATAATCCATCATTTAGTTAATAAAAGATTATCAGTGTGTTTTCTTCCCAGATTTGCTCATGCTGATCAAAACTATCAATACAGATCACAAGCCAGCGGTGTCTTGTCTAAACCTGGCGTTCAACTTTCCTCAACTACCAATTAGTTTTAGTGAGCTGTTTAAAAGTTAAAATGCTTAGTGAATTGCTTCAAGTCAGAAGTAGCATGCCCATTATTGAAGTGTGTATTTTGGTCAGTTAGGAGTAGTTTCATAACGTTATTGAATATAGGCTATATGCTATGATAATGTGCAAAACTGCAACAATGCAATGGGGTCAACAACAAAACCGTCATTTACCATGTGTCCTTGCAACGCCAAACTTTTTGTCTGAACGGACAAATGCTCTCCTGTTATTTCATGCCCAATTTCATGTATTTTTTGGAGAATGATGTGGATTGAGTATAAAATCCTCATTTCTGTTTATCGTAATTACACCATTTAGCAAAACAAATTTAGAGGAAAGAGATTTACTATTTTTTCCACCACAATGAAGTCATACATCATGCTGTATTAAGGAAAGAAAAAACTCAGGACGATAACCTGGTGATGGAGATGGATAGCAGTTTATCTGGAATCAGGAAGTGTGGCAGCCTTTATGGGACTTCAGAGTTGTTGTATCCTTATCTCATCCTGATAAGACTGGACCCATGGCAATATACTCAATTCCTGTTTTGTTCCGCTAATGACTGAGTCCCCAACCTGTATGTATCACAGCGTGTATCTAACTGGGTATGTGTGTGTGTGTGTACGCATGCATACATGGGCCTCATCTGTATGTGGGTTCCTGTTTTTCTGTGGTTGTGCATGTTTGGCTCGATATCTCTGTGCAAGTGTGTGTGTTTATATAATGTGTGTGTGGGTGTAAACCAGACTGCCTGGTTTGCATCTACAGAGGACTGGAGTAAATAAATCTAAGGTCTGAGAATTGGAGAGAGGGTATGACAGCAGCATGGTGACCGTTATCAATCACTCATGCATTTCTCCACTCAGCCTCGCTGCTTTGACAAACGCCATCAGGATGTGACCACACGTCATCCTTCTGTTTAATTGTTTCCTTCACCCGCCTCAAGCATCAGATGCCGAGACCATGTGAAATCAGTCACACACACACAGTTTAACTCGACGTTCTGGATTGGATTCTGAGAATTAATTGACATCAGATATCAACAGCATGACTAGTGCTGTGGAAAATTAAGAATGTAGTGGTCTCAAAATAATTTATGGTACCAGCAGCAGCAACAGTGACAGGAATGCAGCAATAAAAAAAGGACTTAAAAAACACTCACACAGCAAGTAACTAATTTGGTCTATAAGATATCATAATATAATGCTCACCACATGTTCCCGAAGCAAAAGGTAATGTCTTCAAATTGCTTATTTTGTCTGACCTGCAGTCCAAAGCCATTGCATTTACAATGACATAAAACAGAGAAATGCAACAAATACTCTCATTTGAGAACCTGGAATCAGCAAATGTTTGGCATATAAACATTTTGTTGACTATCAGACTTGTTGTCAATTATTTTTTGTCTATCGACTAATCGTTTCAGCACTAACTGCAGGAACATAAGGTGATCACATAAAAGCTTCAATGAGTAATTGCTCTACAGTTTCACTGCACATTGGCATAAAGTTTAACTCTGCCAAACTGCCTCCTGTTATGGAGTCAGTGACATGATTTAACCAGACGTTATTGTGACAAGCTTCAGTTCCAATATTACAATCCAATGCCAAAAGTTACCTGACCTAATCCTTTCACCATAGACCATATTATTTAGTGCGTGAAGTTCTCATTCAGTCATCATTTCACCCTTTACAGATGAGACATTTTGCATTACTGAACTAACTCTTATCTAAACGACAAAAACGTTTAATGTTTCTGGGGGGATCTATAACTGCATCTTTCCAACAGGATTCATGGCCAACTTGTTAACACAGAAGAGCTCTCCCCCCGTGCTTATTTTACCCAGACTGACCTCGATCCAACAGATGCCTTTAATTTCTCTTGCTTTGGGATGAGGGTGCAGTGTGCATGAACTAAAAACAACTCAAAGGATCAGCGGTGTGTTTCTGCTAGAGTTCCTCTTTGGCGTCATCATCATTAAGTAATGTCAGATGAAGTGTATTGGTGCAGAGGCGCGATTGGTCCCCTGGTCTTTGGCTGTAGCAGGTGAGGAAATTAAGAAAATGTGCCACAGGGAAGGATAGCTCGACACCAACGCAAGAGGGACCACCAGGAGGATTAGGTTTGGCTGTTTGATATCCAAGCCTGGAAGGCAGCAATGTAATGCTGTTGCCTAATCAAACTATCTGCCCTAGTTGTTTAATGAAAGGTGGCGGGTGAGGGATCACACAGGTCAGCGGAGCCCACACTTGTATGTACATTAACCTCCCCTTCAAAAAAGAATTAATCTGAGTGACAATATGCTCTATAGATTTGATTTAATTTATTGTGTGTCCACATCTGTGAAACTTAGGAGTGATACTTGCTTATCTTCTCTTTCTAAGATATGGATTATATTATTGACAAAATGTTTAAGGTTTGGTTTCACAGGTTAGGGTTAGATTTAATTTTATAATAACTGCCCATCACATGTTTTTCTTCTTTGGATTAGGCAGATTAGTTATTACAATGGCATACTGCTGCCATACAGTTTGTTATTAATGTTCCTTTTGACCGTTGTTTATATAGTCCAATACTGCACAAGTCGTACCAGAATATCCTTGAATGCTTACATTATTTATTTATATGTCTTCTTTTTTTCCTTTCTTCAAATAAACACAAAAGGAAAAATTTTCCACTCTTGCCAATACCACACATGTGCCAACTGCGGTAACTCACAGTTGGCACAATTGGCAAGACACTCCAGGGGACTTCTCTCTACTTTGTTGCCAATGCTTTCATTTTGGCAATTATTGCTTTCCCTCCAGTGCAGTAAATGTAATCTTGACAACCTGACCTGGGGAAATTACTACAATGTAAACCAACAAGCAATGGAAAACTTGTCTTTACTCAAACAAAAGCCAATAATTCAGGAAGTCTATTTCGTGAGGTGGTTTTAAGCTCAGGATCTCCAGAGGTATCATTCTTTCTCCATAAATAATTACATAAATAATTAGATAATAAGTCATTTAGCTGACGCTTTTATCAAAATCAATTTAGAATTGCTATATATGTCAGAGGTCGCACGCCTCTGGAGCAACTAGGGGTCTCAATTCAATTTAATTCAGCTTTATTGGCATGAATGTATAACAATAGTATTGCCAAAGCTACACACCAAAGACAGGTGTCTTGTCCACTGCTCCATCACCACCCGTCACCACCATCCATTACTCCATAAGCTTAGTGAGAATAAGGTCTGGTTGGACAAGATACCCCCCCCTACAGATAGTGACCCATATTGGTCTGACCTTTGCTGAAGTTGGCACTGGCCCCTCTGTCCAGTAGCAGTTTGGCCAGGTCATAATTGGCCACATTGACAGCACACATCAGAGGAGTCCATTCAAAGCCAAGCCTGGTCTCCACGTCGATGCCTGTCCACACCAAAAGGATCAAATTAAGTGAAGCAATGAAAAGATCTGTGCGGTTGTTTGTATTTCGATTATGTGTTGAGAACTGTTCCATCCAATCGACCTCCCACATGGGGTGTGTGTTGCTGCAGACCCAGGGGACTGCAGTGTCGCATGTGGTGCAATCTGGACACGCGACACGTTCAGAGGGGCTCCCCTCTTTCACTAAAATCTGTGAATAAAGTTGTGTTTTTGTAATCAGTGAGGACCGGCCCCCTTGCATGAGGCCCAATATCTTATAATCAGTATTTAAAGCTAACTATAAAGTTGAAATGGATAAAGCTATCCAAGTGAAGTGTTAAGAGAGTACTTGCCATTGTCCAACAGCTGTTTAACTGCCTCAATGTCTCCTTTACTGATGGCTCTTTTCAGCAATGACACATTATCTTCTGCATCTGGTACAACAGCATCCAAACCCTGTGTCAACAGAGCGATGAATCAGGACACAGCAATATAGAAATACAACAATAAATAATAATCACTCCAATATCCCGAATAATGGATTTGTGGGAATGTGTACCAATATATAGCAGACATATTTCCTGCCATTAGCTGTGGGTAGTATTGACAGGTGACTAACCAATTTCTTACTACAAACTAACATAACATTAGTTCTTTATACTGTTTGTGATAACTATAAAGGCACAATTAAAGTAATTAGTTTAGAGTTGTAACTAACAATTGTTTTCAATATCAATATATGAATATTTTCTTGATTCATCCATAAATACTTGATTCTGTAAAATGACAAAACATTGAAATATGACCTTCATAATTTTGCAGAGCCCCAGATGAACCCTTACTTTATAGTTGTGAGACCAAATGTAGCCTAGGTGAATGATTAATTTTGTTTATTTAGTGTTAAGCAATTACCTTAGCACGTAGTAGAGCTACCTGGTTACATTTACCACAGACTTTGACATTATACTTCACTTCGAGTCGAACTTTGCTTCTGCAGCTTCAAACTGCGAGTGACCGTCAAAGGGCGAAAAGGAGCCGCAAAGTGGCGCAAAGTTTACCCTCCTCATGATTTCAACTACAGTTATTGTAGTGTAGCAATTACAAATTAAACTACTTCATCATAATTAGCTTGTGCCATGCCTATGGGGTTTCTCCTGTATCTATATTAACGCAAAATAAGCAGCAGCGCAGAGCGTTAACTTGCTAACTTTACCTAAGTTAAAGATAGCTTGACTTACGTTAGCTACGCTAGCTACTCTACTAGCTAACGTTTTACTTCTAGCAGCATATAACTCGGGTTGAGAAAAGATGAAGAAGGTTTTCTAAAGTTAACCTTGATGCGAGGAGACTTTTTATCCGAACACCCAATGTCCCACTCATCATTGCTGGCGTCGCTCTCATCTCCAGCTGGATAGGCGTAATCCATGAAGCTGCCCATATTTCTGTTAGCAATTAGCTAACGTAACATCACAGCTTGTGACGGACACTGGCGGCGAAAGCGTTTCAAGGTGAGCCGCCTCACTGCAGCCTGTGGGTGGGCGGAGGTTGACATCCAGCCACACCCATCAGACTCTTCCGACTTCGGTGTGTCTGAAGCATAACGTTAGGTTGGAAGATGGACAACAACATGGACGGTAACTTACTACAAAGATGTGTTGGATTCTCATTGTCATCCAAGTATGCTGAAACAGTTTGAGGCTTTCTATTACAAAGTGCTGTTTGTCCCAGAGGTAGGCCTAGTTACTGCACCTGTGCATTAACCTGAATCCACTAAAATATCGCTTATACTGCAAATAAATAATTTGGAAGGTAGACTTTTTATTTTGTAAGGTTTGTAAGTCTGACCCATTTATAAATCATTTACTGTGGTAACTTAAGACCGTCAACCTATCATCCCGGTTTGCCAGCTACACTGGAGCCAATGAATGCATAAAAGTTTAGCCTATATGTGGCTAAATAGATAGTAAAAGTAGCATTTTTTTTTCTGTTTGTTCGACGTTTATGTTTTTTGTCTTGTTTGTACACTCTGGAAAAGCAAGAGGGAACCGGTATGACAGGTGAGTGGTTTGGTGCTCTTGTTTGTTTCCATAAAACATTTAAAATATCTCACTAATGGATTGGCTACCTCACTATTAAACCGACTTAAAAATATTAAGTGCGTAGTTATTTGTGCAAGGTCTTTTGAAAGCTCCTGCAAGCCTAAAGTCCACCAACACAGGTGTTTCCCCATCTGCCTGATTAGACCTTCTGAGGCAAAGTGATTGACATTATCGCTCATAGCTGTTAGTATTGTTGCAACTTGTATTATTCATTTTACATGGAGTTTGTGACTCCCATCATAATGCACTACTTTAAACTGAGCAGGCCTCTATTCATCCAGAATAAGTGAAACCTCTTGTGGTGATGTGGCATGTAATCAGCATACAGCAAGTAACCTGCAAAGCAATTCTTAATCATTCAGTTCTTACATAGGCTCAAATTAGAAGAATGAGATGTGTCTGTCTTTTGGACAAATAAAACCTTATCGGGTTGCAAATTACTTCAAATGTCCAGCAGAGGTCCCTCTTTCCTCTAGGCAGAGGCAAACAACCTTGGCGTCCCTCAGCAATAGTTGAGCAAAATTGCAAGCAACCAACAGTCTGACTTCATCCCTAAGCTCCAGTAGAAAGCTCAGACTCGACTTTATCCTCTTTCTCTCAAACACACAAATAATTGCAGATAATCTTTTAAGAAGCAGGAGAAAGAGACAACTCTGCTAAATTAATTGAATCCCTCTCTGACCCAGCGGATGGTTAGATTTGTGGAGACAAGAAGAACGTGTCCAATTCAGTTTTGGAACAGGTAGCCTATTCATTTTTTTTGTCTCAATTTTATATTCTGTTTTTTTCAGATGTTTTATAGCACTGTTAAGTTTTTTGCATGCTGCCTTTGTAATGCACACAAACATCACTTCTCCTTCCAAGCCAGAGCCTTCCTGCTACTTCCATTTACACACACACACATATATATATATATACACACACAATATTTTGATGCATGTTTGCATTGCAGAATAGTTCAGCAACATTTATCTTATTTCACTTTGAGGGTTACCTTGATCTTTCTTATACCTACTGTCACACGTGTGCACATTTATGTGTGTGTTTTCAGTGAAACTGGCAGAGTCCCAGAATGGCAAGTTCAGTACCACAATACCACACAGTATAGCAGTGTCACTTTCTGTGCAGAGTTTGATCATGTGTCTACTTGAAAGATGAAAATAAACTTTTTATCACTGCTATGCTATAATATATAATAATAAATATCTTGGGCATACAGCTGGAGTAAGGAATCAAGATAGAAGATACTTTACTGTCACATACATGTTGTGAAATTTATTCTCTGCATTTACCCCATCCCTCAAGGGAGCAGTGGGCAGCCGCTCCAGATGTTTTTCAGTGAAGAACCTAACATGATGGTGGGGGAAACCCACGCAGACACGGAGAGAACATGCAAACTCCACATAGAAAGTCTGGGACGATCTGTGTCAGTGAACCCGCGACCTTCTTGATGTGAGGCCACAGTGCTATCCACTGGATCACCGTGCCGCCCCAAAATTACTTCCATGGAGCCGGATTTGGACCGGTGACCTAAGGATGTCTTATGTTTATTCTCTACAGTCCTCCGCTCTACCAACTGAGCTATCAAAGGGGCAATCTCATGACTGTGTAACTACAGCACAGTCTCTATAGCCTGGCTGCCTTGCTGCTTCACAATCAAACAGCTGATAGTGATGAGGAACCAAAATGACCTTAATATATTTGTCTTCCAACAGGTTTACCCAGCCTGTGTCTCACTCTTAAAGTCTCACTCTTAAAGTAACTACAGCAGAAGTGCTGACAGGTGAAATACTCGGGAACTAAAGTATTACAGCATCTTCCCATTTTATCTCTGTTCCTTTATGGAATGTCTGGAGGATTTGATCCTCCCACTCCTGAAACTGTGTGTAGCCTGAAACTGATTTAAAAAAAAAAAGGTATTTTAGATGTCCCAGAACTGATTCTTCTGTTTTATGAATAATAGTGAAGCATCCAAGTGAAATAAGCTCAGCATTCAGAAGTAGTTCAGTAGACCTCCAGCTACTGGGATAATTGACTTTCATGTAGACTTGATGGTAGACCATTTCATGTTTCACTTTACAAATATGTTAACTTTATAAACTTGTGAAAGTGTTTAGGAAACTTTTTTTAGATGAGACATATTTAACATATTGCATTTTATACACTTGGAGCTTTACATACATTTTTACTTTAGGGTATTAAAATCAAAGACAACCATACAAAGAGCTGGTTAAAGAAAATGGGTGTCTCCTGCATTAAAGTTAAGTGGAAGAAAATTATTCCATATTGACCTTTGCACTCCCATTGTTCCTTGCGTTGCTGATGCTGTGTATGGATCAATATCTGTGTGCTGAAGTGGCCTCACCTTTTCAACTTGTTGCCACAATACGCAACCTGAGGCTCTTCGGCTTGGAAATGACGTGTCTACGCAAGATCTAGCGAGCCCATAAAGGATGGACTGTCCTCTCACTGTCATACTTAGGGAGAGGGCAGAAAGAGCGAGTTGGACCACAGAAGACCAGAGAGACTCACTGAGCATAAAGATACTATTCTCGGCTTTGGTGAAGAAGACTAAACAGTTAGCGGGGGTGCACAGTGGAGGATAAGACAGGAGAGCACCCACTCTGTGGGAAAGGAGCCACTCAGGGGACACACAAATGTAAGCGACGCGCACGGAAACTACTCAGGTGAAGAGAGAAACCAAACTGGCGGCGCACTTAGGATGCAGAAGTCACCAGTGGAAGATGCAAACTTCTTCTCCAAATATTTCTTCTGGTAAGACATGTTTCGTCTGCATCCTCTTGTTTGAGAAGCTGGGGTTGTCAAGGGAATATCTTTCAAGAAATCGCACGAGTGTAATTTAAATCATATAGTGATGGCGGGTGAGACATTTTATATTGTCTGTAATGAATGAGTGCTGCACTTGTTCCAATTCTCTTCTGTTTTAGCGTGTTTGGAGGTTCAGAGAGAACTCTGGGAGGCAGGTGAGACAGGGTACAGGGTGTTTTTTGTTTCTAAAAAACCTTTGAAATAAAAATGGTTTTCTGAATGACAAGCGTCAAAATCGTTAGGAAGTAGGTAGAGCCGTCCTACTGTTCTGTTTTATTTTACAAAACTATTTCACTGTAAATGTTCCAGTGTTGCGGTGGTTGTTCACTTAGTCCATGCGTAAATTGTGCACCTGTCAGTTTAAAACCGTGCGCAAAATTTGAGTTGTGCTCCGATTAGGTATGTTCTAGAAAACGTTGTCGGGTGGGCGCAGACGCCCATGGGGGTTTGCTAAGTCCTCAAGTTGGAGCGTGTGAAGAATCGTTCACATTAAGTAGCTTAAACATAATTATTAATGACAGTACCGTTACAGTTGGGATTTAATGCGTCCTTGCTGAATATTGAAACCACATATTGAATGTGGTTTCAATACTTGAGATTTTTTTTATGACAATTTGAATAACCTCCTAAAATCATAATACATTATGAGTTCGTTTAAGGTGCACTGACATGTCTCCTTTCCACACACTAATGAGGGGTCCTAAAGAAGGAAGCTGACCAAAAAAGTCAGATGATGTAAACTGTTGTATGTCACCTTGCGGGGACAACCTGTCTTCATTGATTGGCAAACATCTGACTTTATCTCCCTTCTCTATCATTAGTCTGACTGTGAAACCTCTGGGATTACTTTCTGTTTATTACAACTAACACCAGTTTATCTTAAAGCTTCCAGACACTCCAACACTTGCTTTTTTTTAACTCTCAAAACTAATACATTTAAAATAATCTATCAAATATCTTCACCTAATTATAAAATGTATATGTGTTTAATATTCTAAATGTACAAGTGTCTTTCAGCAGTAGACAGACAGTTTCAGCTAGTGTTCAAATGCACTTTGAGTACATGCAATACAAATTGGTTTTGTGCCAATCTTTGTACATATTGGAGTATATCTACCTGTTGGCACACTCTCAAGTGTGCATGCTTTTTTGCCATGGTGTCCTTGCTAGGTGATGATGATACCCACCAATCCTTCTACTCTGTGGTTTTCTTGCAGTTGGATGTCACCACTGTTGAGGAAGGGCTTCAGAAAGAAGTTGGAGTTGACAGATGTGTACAAGGCTCCTTCCTTTGATCTCGCAGACAACCTCTCTGAGAGACTCGAAAGGTCTGTGCAGTTTAAGTTTGTGTGCCTGACTCTGTTGTATGTTTTTGTTTTCAACATTTGCATCTCAACATACTGACTAGCAAAGTCATGCTGTAGCCCAGGCCCACAAAGAAATTTGGATTATGGGAGAGTAGATCAGAGTTAGTCTTCTCCCATACTGCCACATGATTAGCTAATTGAGGTATCGTGTTATGGCTTCTTACAGTCTTTGGCATGATATATAAAGAAGCCTTGTTTTTGATGAATTATCAAGCAAGCTGTCTGGCATGTGACAAAATACAACCAAAGGTGCCAGCCACATTGCTTAAGGGTTGTATTTTTCTGTGGAGTGTGGAATGATGCATTGCCCAATATATAAGTAAATCAAATTTGACTGATATGTAAGAGGGACTCTTTCTCTCACTTTATTTGCCTTTATCACTCCCCCTTCACTGTCTCCTCACTGTTTTCTGAAATTAAATGAACCTTGCATTTGCTTTAATCTTTTCTCTCTTTCTCATCTATGTGATTATCAGTCGTTTTATTCTCTGCCGCCTTCACCACCAGGACACCTTTAACTCTCATTAAATGTGTTTACTCTTCACAATATTGGCTGATCATTAAAAATCTGGAAAAATAAATCATGTACATTTAAGGTTTTTAAATCAATTGTTTCTTTAGCCCAGTCATGGCCATGAAAATAATTTAGTGTTTTATACCCCATTTTTATCTCCCCCTATTTGAAATGGCATATTAAAAATTCTAATTCTGCCCTCCCTGTGGTCTTTTGTCCATCATTATGTTTCTGTCTTCCATTTGTCCCTTTCTATTCTTTCTCCTCTCCCTCTTTTCTTGTATTCTTCTCATAGCACTGAGCAAATGCAAATCTGTGGCAGAATTTAATATTCTTAAAAAATAAAAGTGGTTAGATGTTGACCCAAATATTCAACACTCCTGTCTGTCTTTTTTTTTTTTACCTTCCCTAACAACCACAGCAGTGTCCCACATTGGCCCTGCCTCTTGGTTACCCAGGGGCCAGCGTCACACTGAATGGTGCCAACAAGCCGGTTAATGTACATGGGTGTTAAAAACTCGACCTTTAGAAAGGGCCTAGTGCCCACCGGGTGATAAATGAGCAGTGGTGGGTGATTTGGCTTTCATTATTCCGATCAGGCAAACTGTGAAGGCTTCTGGGAATGTGAACTTTACCTTCCTTTAAAACATGCTGTGTACCATCAGTCCCTTCATCTCCCACTCAGTACAGTTTAAGTGAATGAGCCAATAGAAAGGGTTTCATTATGCTGCAATAGCTGACAAACGCATCAAAAGAAAGGAATAGAATAGAGAATGGACAAAACACAATTCTTTTAAAATACATTTTAAACAAAATTTTAAAAAATGTAAAATAATCATTTATGTGGATATGTTGATTTGAAAGATCAATGTAGTGTGGTTGTGGGAGGTGCTGCCGGAGTATGGTGTGAGGGGGTCTCTTTTAAGGGATATCCAATCCCTGTATATCCAAAGCTGGAGCTGTGTAAAGATTCTCTGCAGTAAGTCGGACTCGTTCCAGGTGAGGGTTTGGCCTTGTGATGATTTTCATGGAAGGATATTGAGGTGTAGTCTGGGTGGGGAAGGGATGCAGTTTGGTGAACTGGGGATCTCGTCACTGCTTTTTGCCGATGATGTGGTCCTGATGGGATCATCGGTCCATGACCTTCAGCACTCACTGGATCGGTTTGCAATAGAGTATGAAGTGACAGGGATGACTCCGGGTGGGGAATTAGTCCTTACTCCAAGTGAGGGTGAGAGTTCAACTACCTCGTTCAACTACTTCTTCGCTATTGAGTGGACAATGGAAGATTTACTGTAAATTGATTGATTTTACAATAGAAGAGAATCAGAGCAGCGGGGGCGATATTGCGTACATTCTACCGCACTGTTGTGACGAAAAGAGCTGAGCCGGAAGTCAAAGCTCTTGATCCACCGGCCAATTTCCGTTCCTGCACTCACCTATGGTCATGAATGCTGTTTCATGGGTGAGAAGCCAAGTCATCCATGAGGAACTCCATCCATGAGGACAGCCGCTGCTCCTTTGCGTCAAAAGGTGCCTGTTGAAGTAATTCGGGCATCTGGTATGGATTCCCCCTGGGCAACTCCCTATGGAGGTGTGCTAGGCATGTCCAGCTGGGAGGAGGCCTCAGGGAAGACCCAGCACTAGATGGCCTGACTCTATCTCCACACAGGTCTGGGGACGCCTTGGTATCCCCTGCTGGAGATGCTGCCCCTGCGACACAACACCAGAAAAACGGTTGATGAATGGATATTTTGAAACCTTGGTATTATTACAATAAACAAATAAACTGACCTGCATGATGACATATGGAAGGGACTTTTTTGTGTGTAGTTTCTAACTCAGCTGGTTCGAACCCAGTAGCATCTTGTTGAAAGGCTACATTGAGCCACCAAAACTCAATTCAATTTTATTTATATAGCGCCAAATCACAACAACAGTTATCTCTGAGCGCTTTTCATAAAAGAGCAGGTCTAGACCGTACTCTGTGATGATATTTACAGAAACCCAACAGTTCCCACCAAGAGTAGCACTAGGCAAGAGAGGCAAGGAAAAACTATACCAACAATCCAACGAAGGTTAAAATCAAGGGCAACTGGACTTGGTTGAAGATACTGGAAGACGTTTCGTCCCTCATCCAAAGGACTTCTTCAGTTCTGACTGACTGGCAGGGAAACTTAGCTATTTAACCTCAGTGGGGTCGTTATCCCGGGTCATCGATACCGCTGGTTCGTTAGTGTTCCTTGTTTCTGTGACGACAGTCGTTACAGTCGTTAAGACTACCTGTGGCCAAGACTGAACGACCATCGTTGGTATCTTCACCTGAGGTCAATAGGTTACGTTTGTTGAGTTTCCTGGGAAGTGATGAAAGGACAGTCAGTCAGAACTGAAGAAGTCCTTTGGATGAGTGACAAAACGTCTTCCAGTATCTTCAACTAAGTCCAGTTGCACTTGACTTTAACCTTCGTTGGATAACTATGACCTGGATGACTGAGAATCTTCATAGACATATACCAACAATATCCTTCAGATATTCACCTCTGTTCAGGGATGGACTGATCATCTTTAACTCTCCTGATATCAGTACCTCAACTCAGTATGTTATCGGAGTAGTAATGATCTAATTTAATCTGTGTTTGTGGTGTATATATACTCATACCAATGCTCCTTTCAATTTGAATATCTCACTATCTGTGTGGCACTAAAAACTGATTTGGCAGCCGGCCTTGACTGAATCAATGTAACAGAAAACAAAAACTGTGAATTTTAATGGCATTGGTGAGGAAACCGTATTTAATGTGGATTAGTCATGTCATGGTCATACATTTAGTGGGGTCAGTATCAGTACTGAAACCGATCAGGCGGATGAAGTCAATGCATCCTTACCTCAGTAAGTCTGCAAACTGACAATCAATATACTTTTTTTCAAAACTAACTGTACTTCTATTTGTATTCAACCTAACCCTCTGTTTTTAGGGCTAAGTGTAGAGACCACTGTTATGTAACTTTAATTTTATCTGCCTCAAGGGGTGCGGGGGGGGGTCACAACTTCAGGTTACAGTATCAATACCTATGATAGGGATACACTTTGTCTTCTTACTCTGTTTTTATTACTTTCTTCCTTATTGGTCACCCCTCTTTCCTTTTCCTTCTTTGTTCATCCTTTCTCTTCTCCCCTTTTTCTCGCATCACTCACCGTTGAACTGGTCAGCCAGATCACCACGGTTATAAATGACCCTCAGAAAACAATGCAGCTACTTACCGTCGCTGTATCTGCTTGCCAGGGCAGTTGTGGGAAGATAATTTAACAGTGTTGTGACAAGGGCAACAAACCTTACAGCTACAATAGGTATTATCCAAAAATATATTCAGAAAAATCTTTAAAACTTGTAAAAACTGACGACGTTGATGTTTGACATACCAAGAGTTTTGTTTTCACTATCAAACAAAAGACTATTTGCCCAAATTAAATTCCACCAACTGCTAAAAAAACTTTTAATTAGTAGATAAATAAACAATAAAAAAAATACATGCGTTACAGCTCGTTCAGTGACTGAATCACCAGCCAAAGTTGAGAAAGGACACTGGAAATCTGGTTTGTTGCCAAAGTAATAGTAGACAAATAGAAAAGCCACAGTCAAACTTTGCTGGCATTTGGCTGGTGGATGTGTTATTCTCCCACCCTGCCTGCACTGCTTTTTAACTGTGTTGTAACTCTGTCCTCCCTGCAGAGAATGGGACCGAGAGGTGGTGTCAGCCAAGAACAAGCCCAGGCTGATGAGAGCGCTGGCCCGCTGCTTCCTCGGCCCCTTCGCCTTCTTTGGTGTCCTCCTATACCTCGGAGTGAGTTTGTCAGTTTGTCATCTCTGCAGGAAGCAGATGTGACATAACTCGACTTAGGAAGTGTTGTGTCAACTCTGCCATAATGGATATCATGCCATTGTGTTACAGATGCAAAGTCGTCATTCTTATGCTCTTTTCAATGTGATGTTAGCTTTGTTTATTTTGTGGATAGAATACACTTAAAGTTTGAAACCATAGACTGCAGGAAAAACATGTGTCCACACAGATTTCTGAAGGGATGTTTTAAATGTTTCTTTGCAACTTGCTAAGTCAGAATATCCAAATCTGGTCCAATGTGACAAAGGTTACGTGTAGCTTGGCAATAAGCAATCGCCACCCACCTTCAAGCAAACATGTCCCAAACTATCCTTTATGGAACCATTTTAAAAAAACATCTTCACCAACATAACACACATTTGAAATGTTAACATTAGTTATTGAAACACATTATTTAGAAGATTAATTGATTAAAAGTTTAGCAGATAAAATGTGAGACATATTGAGAATCATCATTACTTCCTGGAGCCTAAATTGGTGTCTTCATATTGCTTACTAGACCAAAAATAAAAAAACAAACAAAAGTAAATAAATCATCAAATTTAATACTGTAACCAGAAACATTTTGGTATTTTATTTTTAAGCAGCATGTTTGTTTCTCTTATCATGGATTAGAAAGTTTAGGATTCCATTGTTTAAATGCAGCACAGGATACGTATCCATCCTAACTAACAATAAAATTATGGTCATTACCAAATAGCTTTGTTATTTTCCAATTAAAAATGCTCAAAGAAACTGAAATTATTTAAGTAAACAACAGAAAATACAGCATTCCCACAGTTTCTACCAGTCATGGTCACACGCTGCTGTTTCACGACCAGCTCCACCTGAATGTGTGTGTACCTGTTAACAGTGATGGAGTAGAAATGCCCCATAGAGCTTCAGTCATGATATGACTCACAAAAATCACAAGCATGTCGCACCATAGTGTCGCAAACCATCTCACTGTCCCGAACTTATGGGAAGGTGGTGACAGCAGCCGTTGGCTGTTAGTACAGTAGGAGGTGGTTGTCATGACATCAAGAATGCCTGTTAGATGTTAAAGAGCCTGTGTAGGAAAACCAAAAGAGTTTCTGGTTGTCGATGTTCTTAAATATTTCAAGAATATTGGTTATGAGATTGGGCATATATTTTCTTCATGTACTACTGCATTGAATTCTATGAAATAAATTTGATGCTGGTATAAATTTTCATGCACAACAGAATCAATATATAGATTAGGAAAAAATTAGGATTATGCCTTATACCTTGGCAGAAGTATGCAGTAGTGCTATTTCGAAGCTAGTTTTGACTCCTAAAAGTTAGACATTTTAACTTAATAATCCTTAACATCCTAAAAATATTAATAAATGATGAAAATATAGGAGGAAATCATGTATCCCATTGCCAGGAGCTGCTGACTCTGTTCTGACTGGCTGCATTGTTTTTATTGTAGAGTAGATCAAATCAGTGTATTTCTTCCCTTATTGTCCCATCTCTTGGCGTAGGAGGCTTCCAAGACCGTGCAGCCTCAGCTGCTGGGTCGCATCATCGGCTCATTTGACCCTGTCCATGTAGAGGAGCGGGACCAGGGATACTTCCTGGCCCTGGGCCTATGCCTCCTCTTCATAGCCCGCTTCCTCTTGCTGCAACCTGCCATCTTTGGCCTGCATCATCTGGGCATGCAGATCCGCATTGCCCTTTTCAGTCTTATATACAAGAAGGTAAAGCGAGAACAGTGTATTCATGTAACTCAGACTGTTGTTTCTTTCTTTGTGTCCGTAATCTTATTTCATTATATTTTAATTTGCGACAATAAGTACAATATTTGCCTCTATAAAATTGTAGACTTCAAGTGTAAAGTCTCCTTAAACTTGTAACCAGTGGCACTGTGGGCCTTTTTCCCTTATTGCACATGAATCGAACACTCGCTACTAAAAATCACTGCTCTAACAACCAGTTGTTGGTTCAAAACACCCCTGGTGAGAAGATAGTAAGACAGTTGTGTGTTAATTTTGCCAGCTTTTATTGCTATTGTTTATAAGTTCAGACAGAATGATCAGCTTAATGCTTCCCCCTTGTTTAGCATGTGTGAACATTCCCAGAAATCTTCTTAGTCCAGAGGTGGCAATCCATAAGCAGCTGTGTGGGGCCTGGCCGCCTGGTGTCAAAGCATGGCCACACATCACCGGCTTCCTCTTAACTATTTCACTTTCTCCCTTGGTGCGTAAAGTGACCCTTGACCTTTGACTTTTTTCAGACCCTAAAGCTGTCCAGTCGAGTTTTGGATAAGATCAGCACTGGTCAGCTGGTCAGTCTGATGTCCGCCCACCTCAACAAGCTGGATGAGGTTAGAAAATCTAAGCATTATGTTTACTTACATATACTGTAAACTGGAGCAGTGTTGTCTTTCCACTTTACTCTCCAATAAACCTTTAATCTTTGTCATCTCTGACAGTTTAGATACTCCTAAAGCCAAATGTACTGGTCATTCACTGGCTGGCTGATTTGCCAGCTACAAGGAAGGCAGATCTCTTGCTGTGTATTAAATTATCTTCCACAAGAATGAAAAACTTTCAGTTTAAAACCAGTGATGGATGAAAATGTTCTAACTAATGGTGAAATGAAGCAGAAATGGAATCCTCAACACATGTTGATTTATGAATACAACACTTTTGAAGTTAACTTTTGAATACAATGTGAATTGTATCCCATTGTTTGGGTACAAAAATCAAGTCACAAGTCAAAGGAACAATGCAGTAGTTTTCCACTTAAAAGTAACTGGTAGAAAGTTCATGTTTCCACAGGCAGAATGAGGGGAAAATAGGATTGACATTTCACACCCTCACTGAGTCTGTTTAACTACCCAACACAGAGCTATGTGCTCTTCATACTGAGGGACAATTAGAGGACAATAGATGTGAAACAATACACACATATACAAACATAATCTGACAATTAGGGACTCAGTGTTGAAAACACATTTGTGATTATGTGAGGCAACAGAGGTGGATAGTGTGTGTGCGTTCGTGTGTTTGTAGACTGAACTCAGTCTTACCTTTAGGTCTCACTGAGGCGTTGAATGTGGAAACACTCAGCAACCTGCTTTGAGACAATTATCACCTGACTTGGATGTGGCTTGGCCCATGCACCACTGTCCTTGTAATCTGATTGTGTGTGACTGTGTGTTTTCTTTGAGTAGATTCCTCGGTAAGTGAGTGGATGAAAGGGAGCTCATTGAAGTGAGAACTGAGTGTTTCTCACCTACAGTACAGCTGATGTTCAGCACACTGTTGACTAGATGAAAGTAGATTCCTCAAAACAAAAGTTTATTGTTTGTTGGATACATTCCCTCCTTTTTCTATCTTTCATTATTATTTGCCCCCTGCTTTTGTGCTTGCATATTTTTCACTCTGTCTTGCGTTCAGTCATTGTAAAAAATCATTCATTCTTTCTGCTGCACTGAAAATATTAAATACACAATGTGTAGGGGACGGGGAGTTTTACAGAAAAAGTAATCAACCAATTTTTACACGTTATCAATTACACTTTGTGTGCCGTGTATGTTAATTTCAGAGCTTGGGTCTGGCCCACTTTGTATGGATCACCCCCCTGCAGTGTATACTGTGTGTGGGTCTGATCTGGGAGCTGATCGAGGTGAACAGCTTGTGCGCACTGGCAGCTCTGACTCTGCTGGGCCTCATCCAGGCCTGGCTGTCCCAGAAGATGGGACCTCACCGGTAGGAAAACACTACCACACTTTTATACACTTATACTGTATATTATAAAACATATATCACTATCAGATATTACAACATTACATACATTTGTAATTGTTCCATGCCCTCATGTCTTGCACTATATGTATTTTGCTGCTCTCAGAAGATTTTAAAAGATTTAATGCATTTATCAGTCTTTTTTTCTGTGATTACCACTTTGTAAATTGTCTAAAAAGTTGTTACATACATAAATACATTTTATACTGTTACTTTTATATTCACATACTGCACAGATTTTATTAGTATACCTCACATATACAGTACTTTGAATAAATGTGTGAACACATCATGTACAAACTGTATACAGTACAGGTGCATGTCTAGCTGCATGTTGATATCCATGTTTATGCTTTTGTGTATGCATGGACTCAGGCTTTACTCTCCGTGCCCATGGTGACCACATGAAATGCTAACTGTGTACGTGCCTGCCTGTGCATCTGCATATACATGTCTCTGTGTTTACATACAGAAATCTGCTTCTATGCACGTATAATGCTGCTCTAAGTTAGTAATGTAAAACTGTGTCCTGTAAATAGGGTGAAGCGAGGAGGGATGATCAGTCGTCGCTTGGCTCTCACCACAGAGATTGTGGAGAACATCCATTCTGTGAAAGCGTACGGTTGGGAGGAGGTGATGGAGACCATCATCAAGAACATCAGGCAGTAAGACACCAAAACACAATAACTTTATCACAAAAGGAAAAGTTTAAGGCTACTTTAAAAGTAGTGTTGAAAGAAGGAAACTTTGAATTGAAGCAGCATCGCTCTGGTGGTCATACATAAGCTTGCATGCAGTAAACAGCTCCTAATCTTTTAAATTGTCCATCTCTCCAGTATCTTTTTTTTATATACTACATGTTTATTGATGATATCATAGATGCACTGTAATAAACGGAACTGAGCAAGAAAAATAAATAAGTGACAAAGAGTCAGCGGACAATCACACTCAAAGCTTTGACCGTACAGTAGAAATGGAATCAACCTGGTGCTAAAATTGAGAGATAGATGTTAAAACATGTGGTTAACCAGTGGTACGACACTGACGTCACTGGTGGCTGTGTGACCCAGAATCAGGATCACTGTAATTGGCAAGTACAATAAACGTACAGGAAAGAGTTTTGGTATCATGGTGCAGAAATATTTTGATAACTATTAAAGCACTAAGCCACATTTATCTAATACAGTAATAGAGTCATGAAAAACTGACACATGGTTAACTAAAATGCCTTTCTGGGTGTTGGTTGCTCTTTGAAAACAAAAGACAATTACTGAAATTCTCAGACATCAGGCATTACATCTGTGTGATGTTTCTGAAATCAGTAGTATGATAGAATAATAGCTTTTTCTCTGATATAAATTAAAATATTATAAAAATCCCAGTATACTTCTTTAATTCAACAGATCAGCTAAACTAATTTTTGCCAGGTCCATGAAAGTTTGTCTGCTAGATTAAATATAAATTAAAACTGTATTGTACCAGTACTATATACGTGTAACTTAATTTAAGTCATTCCATCTTCTCCTTTCATATTGTCCCATTTCACTTCTCTCCTCAGGGACGAGATGACGCTGACGAGGAAGATCGGTTCTCTGCGTTACTTCTACAGCGCCTCGTATTTCTTTTCCGCCATCTTGGTCATCGTGGCTGCCATCTTGCCGCATGCACTCACTAAAGGCATCATCCTGCGTCGTATCTTCACCACAGCCTCCTACTGCATGGTGCTAAGAATGACCCTGACCCGCCAGCTGCCAGGATCCATCCAGATGTGGTACGACACGCTGGCACTGGTCAAAAAGATCGAGGTGTGTTCGGATCCTGGCGGTGAGACGTGCACGTCTGCTAGAAATGTCAAGGCCATTAAATCTCAAAATATCCAATTTGGTGTTGGCCTTCAACAGCTTTGAGCAGTACATATTAATTACCATTATATGTAATACTAATGTACCTGCCTGTGTTATCACCAGGAATTCTTGATGAAGGAAGAATACAGAGTGCTGGAGTACAACCTGACCACCACGGAACTGGAGCTGGTTAACGTGTCTGCATCCTGGGACGAGGTCTGTTCATCTCTGTGTGTCGAAATTAAATGTGATACTATATCAGTCATTGGACATTTATAGTACTATATGTTTAGTGGTGTGTAGTCAAACTCTGATATTCAGTGTGAATGCAAATCTCAATGTGGCTTGACCAGTTTTCTTATCTATACTCAGTTACACTGATGATAAATAATTGGTTAATTATTAGATGTTTAAATAGAAAATGATATGGGGTATTTTCACAGCATAACACAGATGGATTGAGTATTTAAATCATACAACAAATAAACCACATTTAAATCATTTTATTAATCATAATTGAATGTAATCAAAACATTGCCATCGCTTAAAATTTCAAAATTGTCCCTGCTGGACTTTTTATTCAAAATATTGCCAACAAAATTTCAAACCACACTTCTGGAGAACTTGCAGGCTTTCCTGGATAACATAACATGCACGTTGCTGAAAACAACGATGGAAAAAGGGATTTTAACCTACAAATGCAGTATCAAGAAGAAAATACAGGCTGATTGGATCTGTTGACAACAGAAGGCTTACTGTTCTTTCTGTAAGTGCCATGGTCACATCATGAACTCTGATGACGATTGCTCAGGTTGCAGCACAGTGTTGAAATCTACTGAAAACCTGCTGAAAACAGAGAATTGCTAAGATAAGAAATTTTTAATGTTGATTAATCAGCAGTTTGAGTGAGAATGATCCAGGTAAATAGGTAAATAAGGTTTATGGGTACTGTTTTTAATAGATGGATGTGTACGTGTGACAGACAGCAGATCCTCGTATCTAGTAAACTTGACAAAATGACAAAATTGGAGCCTGAACTGATTCCAATATTTATCTATTTAGTTGTGTGTCTTTAATGCCTAGAAAAGAAGAGTGGAGATTGTAGATTAAATCTATATCGCACCTATCACTATGTCAACCACTAAGTAAGACATGTCAGTAAAGCAAAGCCAAAGTTATGTTTAAGGTAGATTAGACACCGTGATGCCATTAGAGACTGTAGTTTGTCCACCTGAGAGCCCCGTCAAGTATCAAAAAGAAAGAACGAAGATGGAAGACATATCTATAGAAGTATTGGCCTGTAGTATTAGCCCGGTATTATATATATTAGCCTAGTACATTTTCTCTAAGAGAGCAAGGCATGTTTAAAGAAGTTAAAACTCCCACAACCCCTAAATCCACCATGCATTACAGGTATAATAGTTAATTCTTCACCATCACTGGGAGTGGATAGTATAATCTTATCTATAGGCAGAGGCTGTAAACTTAGTCTAACAGGTGTGATTCATTGTCCACCCAATACCGTGAGAAAACAAAATGTGTTTTTTTTCCCGTCACTTTGCATAATTAATTATCCCAGTGTCGTCACCTAACTTTGCCTGTGCTGGGAACGCTCTGAATCTCCCTTTGAGTTTCAGAGTTGTGTTCATCACCTAATTCCCAGATTCTCCTCTTGCCTTCTCCTCTTCCTGGAATGTGCCATTCGCAGATGAATGGGGGGGGTGTTTCCTTTCTTTACTGCTGACAGCATGTACGTCAGTTCATTTGAATAAGAATCGCACAGAAAAACCTATACAAACCACAGCGAGTCCTGGCATTAGAGGATTGGTGACCCATAAAATGTCACAGGGGTTAATGAGTAATCCGGCGAGTCAAGCAAAGTTCCCCTTTTCTAACAGTGAGATGTGTCACCCATTAATTTTCATAGAGGTGCTGACAGATGAGGTGAAATAAGGGCATTGTGGAGTCTTCTTCTGTATTTGGAGAATCTCTTGTTTCTCGCAGTTTGGCCTGGTCTCACTGTCTGAAAGCAAGACGGACACACTCACTCAGCCATGAAGCAGGCAGTTATGTAAATATAAATCAAGGACATGCCATATACACAAAATGATAAATACTTAAGCATGGTATAGTACAGTGTTTTTAAGTATACCATCTTTGGTGTTCGTTCAGTCCATACAAAACAGTTAAGATCTTTTGACCTTTTTTTTGCAGGGCATTGGTGAGCTGTTTGAGAAGATCAAACAGGAGAACAAAGCAAATGGACACCTGAACGGTGACGCCGGCCTCTTTTTCACTAACCTCTACGTCACACCTGTTCTCAAAAACATCAGCCTGTACCTAGAGAAGGGCAAGATGCTGGCTGTGGCTGGATCCACTGGCTCAGGGAAGGTAAGTCAAAGAAATCACCTCATTTAAATGAAATTTTGGTAAGAGTGTTTATAGAGACTACGCCAAACCTGCAAGTGCTACTGAATCCATCTGTTTGGTCAACCTGCAAGGCACTGAAACCCTACACGCTGACTCGTTGCAGGTTAATGTAAGAGCAACATCTTTAGAATAAAATTGTAGTAGAATAAAGTGTTTTTCCCAATTTCCTGCAGAGCTCCCTGCTCATGATGATCTTGGGAGAGTTGGTGCCATCGGAGGGCAAAATCAGACACAGTGGTCGCATCTCCTTCTCACCGCAGACTGCCTGGATCATGCCGGGGACGATTCGAGACAACATCCTGTTTGGCCTGACCTATGACGAGTACCGCTACACCTCTGTCATCAAGGCCTGCCAGCTGGAGGAGGTACCTTTCCTTGATCACATTATTCCTTCTTATTCTCTCCCTTTTTCTTCTGTTCTACAAATAAAGGGAATTTCTGTTGGTATGTTCGACCATGATGAAGCAAACTACACAGAAAATTTGTTCCTCTCTCACCTGAATACATTAAAACATTGAATATAACAAGGGTTTTTGCTCACTCTCTGTTTTTAAGGTAGTAGGTCAATCTCAAACACTTCTGCAGCAAAATCTGCCAAGCAATCTTTATTATGTCAATGTCATTATGGTTATGGAGCTTCAAACACATATTTTTCAACATGTGAACATAAATACCCATATTTTAGTGGCATTTGGAACATACTGAACATACAGGTAGACCACATGTGTGTTCAAAACACACAAACCACTAGATAGTGTTGTCAATGAAAAAAGTACAAACACAGGCACACGTGTCAATGAACAGGGAATATTTGAGTCACTGTAAATCAGTGACACAGAACAGCAACATTTATTTCTCTGAAAATGCCATTCGATATTACTGAAGTTATAAAAAAAAACTTGTGTTTTATAATAGTTTTCTCTCGTAAATTCAGATTTGCCAGTTTCCTTCTCAAGTGCTTTAATTGTCTTTCATTGAACTGATGCTCTCTGCTCAGCTGTCTGTTTGGAGTCTCTGCAAGGCGTCAAGAAGGTTCAGGTTTCCCCAGTCCACATTTACACCCATTAAGTCCCTCGCAACACACAAAGACACACATGGTTGCACTTTCTCTGTCTCTGACATTGACACACACTCGAGCTCTCATAAGCCTCAGTGTTGAGTGACGGCCCCTCAGCAGAATAATGTCTCCTCTGTCGCTATGGAAGTCTCTCGTTATGTCACTGAGATGGAAAATGAGCTTCTGGGTTCCCAGTGATAGATGTTACAACACAGACTAGCTGAATGGACAAACCATCAGATCTGTGGTCTTACTAGGCTTGTGTTTCAGTATTTAACTTAAATATCCAATAAATGTTACATTGATAAGCTGGAAAAATATGACTCTTAGATGGTGCATACATGAACTCGTAAAGCAAACAAGATGACTTAAAGCTGAGGTAGGCAAGTTAAGATTTTTTTTTTTTTGTTATTTGTTAAAATTCACTTCACATCCCAAACAATAAATCAATTGCTCCAACACAAAAAAAAATCCCGGAGCCACCCCCCCCCCCCAAGGATTGTGTGCTCAGCCCCCCCCTGTTCACACTGTACACCCATGACTGCATCCCCTAACATGGAGACAACTCTGTTGTGAAGCTTGCTTAGGGCACCACCATCATCGGGCTGATTTCAAACAGCGATGAGACTTCATATCAGGAGGAAATTAAAAATCCTGCAGAGTGGTGTACAGAGAACAACCTACTGCTCAATGTCAGCAAAACCAAGGAGCTGATCGTTTGATTTTAGGAAAAAGCAGGCAAAGACACACACTCCTGTCTATGTCACCGAAGCTGAGATGGCACAGGTGAACAGTTTTAGGTTCCTGCGAATCAGCTGGTGAAGAAAGCTCAGAAAAGGTTTTTATTTCTTAAGGAAACTTAAGAAGGGAAAATTCCCAGGTCTCATTAACTTTTACAGAGGCGCAATAGAAAGCATCATGACTGGAAACATCACCAGCTGGCATGGGCAACTGGCATTCCAGGACCAGAGGGTTCTGGAGCAGGTGATTAAAGCTGCTCAGAAGATCAGTGGTCACAAGCATCAGTGATATCGGTGAGGTGCCTGTGCAGAGCCCAAAGGATGCTAAAAGACATTAACTACCCAGCCACAGCCTGTTCACCCTGCTGCTGTCTGGCAAGAGATACAGAACTATCTGCTGTCATACCACCAATCTTCAGAGCAGCTTCTTTCCTACACATTAATTCAACCTCAACATCCCAATTGAGTGAAGAGTTATGTGGGGTGATTAGGTAATACCTCTGACACACCCACCAAATGAGGAAACCTGGAAACATAGCAAAACTTTTTAAATCTGAAAACTCTGGGCACCATTTTGCTACACTTTAGAGGCTGAACGACATGTGTCCTCAAAATGCTGTGTAAAAGGCTTTGAGGTACATTTTCTGTCATTTGGTGGGCGTGTCAGAGGTGTTACCCTATCAGCAGCGAGGTGTATATAAACCCCACCGTATTTAAAAAGGCAGTGCAGTGCGCGTCCCAGGAGATCGGCACTTTACTGAGTGCTCTCTTATGGTTTACACTGAAATCAATGCAGCAGCTCATGCAGAGGGTGATGCCATCAAATTTATTTACTACCACTCCCCATCTACTGCAGCACTGACAGTGCGGTATGATCCTTCATCTTCTCCAGTCTGCATGTCAAAGATACTGAACCCCTAATTGCTCCTGTGTGTGACTGTTTCTGATGAGCATTTGGCACCTTAGCCTCTGCCATCAGTGTATGAATGTGACGTAGTGTAAAAGCTCTTTGAACGGTCAGAAGACTAGAAAGGCACTATACAAGTACAGACCGTTTACATGTTGTCACAGCAAACAAAGCTGGCATGCAATATTGACATCTTCATGAACTGTAACAAACAGCCTCCATTTAGACTTTGAGGAGAGGTCTCATATGCTGGCAAGAGGTGTTGATGAAAGTGAAATAACAAAAGCTGTATAGTAGTCACGTCATCAGTTCTGTATATTGTGTGGAAATTACAAGAATGGCATGAAGTCTTCCTGTGTGTTTTCATTGCTGACAAACAGCAAAGACGATTCCTGGGGCAACCACTTTATTAATGTTTGGATCACAGCGTGTGCCTTAAAAAATAAAAATAAAAACTCTGCAGACAAATGAGAATCTTCAAACTATCGTAAATAAAAATGTGCTAATTTGTTAGTTTGTCCAAATAAAATCAAAGCATATCAAGGTTCATACTGAGAGGATGATTAGTAAACTTTAAAAGTATCAATTCCCAGTGCTCTCTTACTAACCACTTCAAGGGGATAGAAATTAGGAGAGAACGTGCAAACAGGATTTTCTACTCTAGGAAAAATCTCCAAGGCAACCTGTAGAGACAGGAGTGACAACTAGAGCAGATTTCTCCAGACAGAGACCTGGCGTTTAGTGGGCTTGTGACTGTAATTCCTCACTATTGTTGGTCCTCGAAGCACCAGACAGACTGCTGTGGGTGGTCTTCCCACTTTAAACTCCCCTTTAGCCTCCAGCCTCTTGCTGCTGGCCCGGCAGGTGCTTTTTATTCACAGTGAGACGCAACATGTGTTTTTACTATGTTGCCTTATTTTACAAGCTGTTAAACAACATGTTAACTTGATCCCCTGTGCGCTCCCGTCAGGACTGCGGAAGCTGCCGTTGAAAAGGTAGGACGTTTTAACGATGATAAACTTGTGTTGTCACTTCATCCTTATTGGTGTGGGCGTCTGTTTTCATTATATATTAGCACCGTACTTACTATATGTTTGTACTTGTTACATCCTCTATGTGACCATCCCAACTGTGGTTTGTGTTTTTTTGTGTGGTTTGAACTTTGAAAATAAATCTGTGATCAAATGAACATGAATTATTTGGTTATCAAAATAAAAACCACGTGCAGGACTGTGTCTTTGTGTTCACAATACTGAGATACCTTATCATAAATATTTAATCTTGTATATTTTATTATGGGTGCAGTTTCATCAGACTGTGAAATAATACATCATCTGTGCGTATTGTTAAAAAAAGACTATTGTTTTACCTTGTGATTTTCTGACTAAAAACAGTAGTATTAGTTTTTTTTTTTTTTACCATTTTCAGCTGCTACTTTTGTGTTTTCCAGTCAAGACCTGTCGTATTTACCTTCACCAGAACACAAAAAAAAGTAAGAAAGAAGCACTTAGTCACTAGATCCCAAAAAGCATCTATACACTAAACATTTGCAGCCATTTTCTTCCCCCTAAATATTTTAAGGACATTGTGCAAGGACAACAGTAAAGTAGAGTGCAAAGGGGACAGAACAGCAGACTATACATGTCACACTGCAACCATTCAAGTGGTGTGTGTATGTATGTATGTATGTGTGTGTGTATGTATATATGTGTGTGTGTGTGTGTGTGTGTATGTATATATATATATATTGTTTGGGTCTCCTGCTGGTGAGAGGTCATAATTAGTGTGTGTGTATATATATATAAATATATACTAATTATGACCTCTCACCAGCAGGAGACCCAAACAACGATTTAGTTTTGCTGTTTCAATGTAGCAGTCTTCCATATTTGAATCTTTGTTTTCTCAGCTTTCCATTAAAACATTTAATCAGCTGGACATGTTCAGAACTTCTCCTTTAAGACCATCAACCCCTATCTTAGTTGCCCAGTATTAATCTTGTGTTTTCATTCCAAATGTATCAGAACATTACAGTATATCTTTAAACCGTTGACCTAGTTTCATTAACTGTAGCATTTTGCACACTAGCAGTGCACTTCACACCCTGTTTATTTTTATTTTAGGTATTTATTTATTTATCTGACATGCTCCGGCAATCCAATGTGCAATAAATACAAAAAGGGGTAAGATTAAAATACTGCCATACGTTGGTCATCATGTAGAAAAGACTTAAAGAAATAAGAACTGAAATATGGAGCACTGATCAGTTTTACTGTTATACACAATAATAGAAAAGCAAGTAGATGCTTATTTGGAAGAGGTGAATGTGAAATAATTCTTGGAGAAACGGTTTGACTGTCTTAATATCTTGTGTCTTACTGTGTTTTTGCATTTTTTGTTTTGCTATTGTAGAAATGTGATGATGCATGCATGCATGTGTTATACCCGCTGACCCCTTGTTTTCCTCTCTAGGACTTTGCCTTGCTGCCTGAGAAAGACAAGACGCCCCTCATTGAAGGAGGGGTGACACTCAGCGGTGGTCAAAGGGCTCGACTTGGCCTGGCAAGGTACTTCCTGTCACACCTGAGCATCTGTCTAAATAATTATACTTTGATTTCCAACCTTTATGGGACCATGTCGTTTTGCAATGGTCAAAAATAGAACATGATGTATTATTCCAGTTGTCCTGGTAAAACATACATACAGGTAAATATAGCAAGTAGTGAGTTGTTTTTCTTGGCTTTTTACTAGATCATCAATTTGTTTACTAGAATCTGCAGTATGTTAAGGTTAAATGAGGTACGGGAATTTAACTCCCTTTGTTGTTTAAGAATAAGTTCAAAGGGCCAATATATCAGCTGCTCCGTAATGCACGGATCAGTGAGCTTCTAATGGAAAATAACCGGCTGAAGGTTGGCAAACACACTTTAGTTCACACCAACATCAATATTAAAGCCATAAACAAATCTCCGTTATAAGTATCATCATCATCATCATCATCACTAGCACTTTCAACGTAATGGGTTCATTCTTTGTAACCCAATAAAACCATCTACTAAACAACATTTACAAGTATCTAGGACGTGACATCTTTGGCAATGCTCCAAGCTACAATGTTGGTTCCTAACAGTGTGTAAAGAATCGAGCCTTTATAAATGATTGTAACCAAGCCAAAGCTGATAACCATCACCTATCATTGTTATCTGTGTTTGTCTGTCTGCACAAAGTAATGTGCAGACTATCAAGCTTTCTAAGGCCTCAGTAAAGCTTTATTACTCAATTAAAGCTATGTGTAGATTACAGCAGTCAGACACACTCATATTTCCATGCATTATTTATTGATTTAGTGTCCTGGCATCAATTTGTCGCTGCTCATTGATTTTTGGCTTCTGTCAACACTGTAAACACTCACTGGAATTGATTTTTTTTTTTTCCCACAGGGACCTGACTTCCCCATTTACAGTTTCCCCTCTTTCTCTGTGAACATTGCTTTCTGTTTTTCCTTTTCTCATACCAACACATGTTTTTCTCACTACATGTTATTTCTCACACATTCTAACATTGCCTTTCAACCTCTGTCTGTCTGTGTGTTTTTTCCTTCAGGGCAGTGTATAAAGATGCAGACCTCTACCTGCTGGATGCACCTTTCACCCACCTGGACATTGTGACGGAGAAAGAGATCTTTGAGAAGTGTGTATCCCAACAGAGAGTCTTTCATATGGTGGTGGTGGTGGGAGTGGTTGAGCTAATGATTAAGTTCAAGGTCAAGGTTATCTCTTGTTGTGTCAGACACACTCAAGTTGACAGTGGTGAGATGCGGCTGCTTCATCACACTGTAACCTTTTCAGGAAACGGGAGTCGAGCAAAAGGGAATTATCCTTTGATGGAATGTGGACTTTGACAATCTGTCAAATGGGAAAAGCAGGCAAAATGATTCCTAAATGAATATTTTAGTTATGTAGTCAAAGCCTATACACAGTCGTGATAATAAACACATACAGTAGCTTGTTTATTTCAAGTGCTGGTTTGTCTTTTGTTCTTGTTTTTTTTATACATATAAACAAACACAGATCTTTAAAAATATGTAAAACTTGACATAAGTTGACAGCTGATATTTGTTTTCTCTCGGTGTCACTGCACAGATGTGTCTGTAAACTTATGGCCTCCAAGACACGTATTGTGGTCACCAGCAAGTTGGAGCATCTCAAACGAGCAGACAAAATCCTTCTGCTGCACAATGGAGATTGCTACTTCTACGGCACCTTCTCAGCGCTGCAGGCCCAGCGCCCTGACTTCAGCTCCCTCCTCCTCGGCATGGAAGCTTACGACAACATCAATGCAGAGAGGCGCAGCTCCATCCTCACAGAAACTCTCCGCAGGGTCTCCATAGATGAAACCGCTGGCTTCCGAGGCCCAGAGCCAATTCGCCAGTCGTTCCGCCAGCCACCGCCTCCGGTAATAGTCTCTGGATCCCAAGGCCATGTTGGAGGTGATGGCTACCCAGAAAAACGCAAACAGTCCCTCATCCTCAGTCCCCTGGCAGCTGCTCGCAAGTTCTCCTTCATCGGGAACTCCCAACAAACTGCAAATACACCTCAGTCCATGACGATAGAGGACGGGGTTCGTGAACTTTCTGAGAGGAAATTCTCTGTAGTGCCTGAGGATGATCAAGTAGAGGAGGTGCTTCCGAGGGGGAACTTGTACCACCATGGGTTGCAGCACCTCAATGGGCAGCGGCGGCAGTCTGTCCTGGCTTTCATCACCAACTCTCAGGGCCACGAGCGCAGAGAGCAGATGCAGTCCTCCTTCAGAAAAAAGCTATCCATCACGCCTCAGTGTGACCTGGCATCTGAGCTGGACATTTACGCCCGCCGCTTGTCAAAGGACAGCATTTATGACATCAGTGAGGACGTGGATGCAGAAGACATGGAGGTAGAGCTTTTTTAGATCCTTTTTCAGGGCACAATAATTGTATAAGATACATTTTTATGTTTACGCTTCCAGAACAATGACTACAATTCTTGATCTTGTGAAGACCCACAAAATGTTCTTGATGTGTTATAATAAAGTTTAGCTGGATTTTCACAGCAGGTCATTTTACTTGGGTCCATATGTAAAAGAGCAATTCTGTTTCTTCACAGAAATGCTTCGTTGATGAACGCGAGAACATCTTTGAAACTACCTCATGGAGCACTTACCTACGTTACATCACCACCAACAAGAGCTTAGTCTACGTCCTTATTTTTATTGTTTTTGTCTTCATCCTTGAGGTAAAATCACTGCCGTTTTATACTTTTTTTTTTTTTTTTTAAACGTTATGTGAATTTAACTGGCAACAAATGTTTCTGTTTTTCTTTACACCAATAGGTAGCCGGTTCAGTCATTGGTATTTTCCTCATCACTAAGTAAGTGTCAGGTTTTATGTTCCTTGAGACACTGAGACTAAACAGCAGAAGACATTAGTATGGGATTAGAGCAGTCTCATAAACATTCACAAACAAAGGTCAAGATTGTAACTTGTAAAACACATCACACCAACAAATGTAGAGGGATTTGTTTTTGGATCCGTGTCTGCCTCTAATTTACATCTTGTGTATATATATATCATCATTTTTACATTGACTTTTTATATCGATTTCTCAATGGAAATATATTTGTGCATCTCCACCTAATTGTTTCACACAAAATCCACAAATGTGACAATCACATTGCACAGGTACGGATCCAGATACAAATCACATCACACAATTACAGACATGAGTCACGTGACATTTTACAAGTCAGGCATTTTGTGTGAAACAGCACAGTAGAAGATTCTCAAAAGAATCCACACAAGTAGGTGGAGATGCACAGATATATTTCCATTGTAAAATGCTACGTTGATGTACAAATGTTGAAATACAAGTTGTGAATTAGAGGCACAGATACGAATTATGCTTTTGTTGTAATTCTTATAATAAAGTTCCACAGAGCTTTTTGTCCCCTCTACAAGACTAACTTTTAAACAATACCATATATGTTTAAATATGTTAATATTAAATATGTTAAAATAGGTTTAAATAGTCAAGTAAATATTCTGAGGAGCTTGTGTTTTAAAATGTAGGATTTTCTAAATAAAAGATTCCTTATGAGTCGTAAGTTCAGTGTTTGTGTTTTCCATATTATGCATGCATATGTCCATCATTAAGTCTTTTGGGAACTGTTATATTAAAGATTCAAGTGCTGTATGTGCCTCCTGACTGGCAGGGCTACAGTGTATTTTGTGTCTATTTTTTTTTTTCATTCAGTCCATGTTTCATTCCCAATCCTTTGCTCTGTTCTATCAGAACGATCTGGAAGGACAGCACCAGCCCTTCAACACCCAACTACATTGATGGGCAGCACTCCAACACCTCGTCGCCCCCCGTCTTCCTGGCGATCATCGTCACACCTACCAGCGCCTACTACATCATCTACATCTATGTTGCCACATCGGAGAGCGTGCTCGCCTTAGGATTCTTCAGGGGTCTCCCATTAGTGCACACATTACTCACGGTGTCCAAAAGACTGCATGAACAGATGCTTAGCGCTGTAATACGAGCCCCCATGGCTGTGCTCAACACTATGAAGACAGGTGATTTTCTCAGTTTACTTTCTTAAAATAGCCGAAAATGTAAATATCGAACATGTTGTGGTATGGTATCCTTAGTTTTTTCTAGTTTGGTTTTTTGTTTACCTGTAAAACCACATCTGTTTGGCCATATTAAATGCCATATTAATGCAATCCTTCACTACAGTGCTAGAGTTTTTCCTAATTTCTTCCAGGCCGGATCATGAACAGATTCACCAAGGACATGGCTACTATAGATGACATGCTGCCTCTGGTGCTGTTTGACCTCATACAGGTATTTAACCAACTCAATGGATGACGGAGCAGTGTTTCAAAATAATAATAGGGCTACATAGCATAAATGTATCAAAGTATTTCCCAACTCCACTACAAATGTCACATGGAGGTAACATTAAGGCTATAAAGTTAGCATGCTGCACTTTAAAATTTTCATCTGTGTATCTTATTCCCATATAAACATGACAAACAGCTGCCACAATGAGAGTATCACTAAATGTTTGTTAAATGTGAAGCTGGTGTGAACTGATGTTTACTGATTTCAACATTAGGTTACGTGACTAATGTTATATACATCATAAGGCACTTACCTGTGCAAGAAATATAACACAAACCATTGAAGCATCAGCATTGAAGTTTCAAAATCTCCTCGGTCTTTCAAATGTTGCACCGAAGTTCTCTCAGGTTTTAAAGAAAGAAAACAAATTATTTTCTTTTAGCTTATTGTTTACTCTTAAAACTCTTACTTCTGTTGTCCAAATCAGGTCTGATTATTCTTCTCTTTTTTTCCTCCTCACAACAGCTGACATTGATTGTTACGGGTGCCATATTCACTGTGTCCATCATGCGGCCTTACATCTTCATCGCTGCCATCCCATTAGCTGTCATCTTTGTTGTCCTCAGAAAGTACTTCTTACGGACTGGACAGCAACTCAAGCTACTGGAGGCTGAAGGTGAGAGTCGAGCAGGAATTGTGGATGTGTGACTATTATAGGAATAGTGCAATGACTTCTTTTTGTCAGTGCGAAGAGACCGAAGGGACAAGCAAAGGAAATACTGTTTCTCATCATAGCGTTGCATGAAAAGTAGAGTACTGATTAAGGAGACTAACCTTCTCATTCACAAGACAAATATGCATTTATAATATGTAAATTTGTCCTGCTGATGCGTTTGAAGGAAGCCATCTTCCCTCTTGCGTAAAAGTCTGAATTTCTGCCAGCATCAGGGGCGTTGTTCTTTAGCTCTAGAAAATCTACTCCTTAAATCAAATTACATAACGTATTTTATTTGACAACCTTAGAGAGCGGAGAAGGGATCGGCAAATATTCAGTAATGAGTAAAAGTGATGAGTAAAAGTGAGAACATGGTAGGAAAACCAATAGACTGAACAGAGGAAGCGGGACTTGGGGGGCAGACACCGCAGTCATCATAACTGCCTGTCAGCAGGCAGAGTTGGTTGATGGCCCAGGGCCAAGAGGGCCAAGAGGGCGAAGAACAACAAAAACAATGACAGAGGAAAGGTTGAAAGAGAGGATGAATGGGCTGCCTCAGAGGGGCAGGAACATTTAAAGGAAGTGAGGCGGGGTAAATAAAATACTCCAATTAGCAAAGAGTTTGGTATCTCAGTGAAAAGAATTAAGATATTTTTTAAAGCTTTTACACATAGATACTTGAATTTGCTTGTTTGAGCTCTTCAGTAAAGATTCTGGGCGGTATTCTGTCTGTGTGGCAGGGGAGTATCTTTACAAAAGTAAATGTGTGATGTGCACCAGTAGAATGGGAAGTGGAGATGTGCAGTGATGAGATGAGCAGAAAGTCGAGTAACATTTTATCAACTGCTGAGACCAGCATTATTGAACCGTATTTAGTTGTAGTTGACGCTGTCAAATCTGTGGATGCAGGACAATCTCATTAACAACTAGACCTGCTCCCCAAGTGAGAGTCTTGTAATAAGTGCTGTGTTGCAGAAATAGTCTGTCTGCTGGCATTGTTTTTTGGCACTAATGAGAAAGGTGATGTGGAAGCTGCTTTGACCAGTTTTCCCACAGTTCAAACCCCCAAAATCAATGTTTAAACCCTTCATATGGTCCAGGTTATCTGCCAACCAGGATTGAAAATATTAATCTCTAAATGTTCTGCCTCCAGCCCTGAATAATGGATGGATGAATGGAAATGTGTGCTGTTCAAAGCATTAATGAATTATTTAAAAAAAAAAAAAAAAAAAAACTGAGATCAAGATTAAATTTTATTTTTTGAGTCTCAATAACTACATAATTTAAAGATTTACAATATTGTATATGAAGATACTGAAAAACGGTTACATACATTACAGCACATTCATCTAAAAAAACATCCCTCTGATCAGATTTCAGTTCAGAAGTCATAGTGTGGTAGCCAACAGGACATTGCAGCTGTGTACAGCAGGAGGATGAGAAAACAGATCGCTGGATTGCTGACGAAGACACCACTCTGTGTTTTTTGGACTTCCCCGCTTTGCTCTCGATTCCGTCACCGAATGTGTGTTTTCGGTGATGACGGCAAGGTCTTTCCGGAGCCGCTGAGAGCATGCCGGTGTCAGACAGATGAGCCGAGCTGGGATTTCCTCCAACCCCATCCTGGCGTCGCTCCCTCTGGTGTCACAAGCAGCATGTCGGACAGTGGAAATGATGTGTATTAGTCACTCAAATGTTTATTAGAAAGTTTTAGCTTTTTGGCAGCATTGTTTTATTTACATTACTACCTCAAGTGTGTCCACAAAAAGTCCAACTACAGAGGATTATTGAAAGCAGAGAGAGACAAAATTTTTAAAATAAAATGACTCTAACTTAACTGTACCACAGAGCCAAATCAGTTTTTTGCCCAATCCTTCAATTAGTGCTGTCCTGCTCCTACTTTTGCCCTTTCACATCTCTCATTATCTTTAATCCTAGTCTGTTTTGCTCATTTGTTCTTTCTCACTTCTCTTCAGTTGCTTTATTGAAATTGACCAGCTGAACTAATATTTGCAAAGCATCTTAGAAAAAACCTTTAAACTATATATATATACTCAAACCTTCCAAACTTGTAAAATGTGTCCCTTCTCCTCTTCTGCAGCTCGAAGCCCCATCTTCTCACACCTCATAATCTCGCTGAAGGGTTTATGGACAATTCGGGCGTTTGGGCGTCAGACGTACTTTGAGATGCTCTTCCACAAGGCGCTGAACACTCACACAGCCACCTGGTTCCACTACCTGGCCACACTGCGATGGTTCCTCTTCCGCTGCGACATGATCTTCGTCCTGTTCTTCACTGCCGCTGCCTTCATAGCCGTGGGAACCAACCGTAAGTGAAGGGATGACAATGGGTAGATGAATGAAGGGTTGCATGTATGGATTTAGGATAGATTTTTGGATTCTCGGTTGATAAACAGACTTAGTTTAGAAGATTCAAGAATTAGGTAGGCTTTTCTCAACTTATAATGGATTTCATAATCCTACCTGCAAAGAGTATCTCCTGAAAATCTTGTCTTTGCTGACCTCTAGTGGTTTAACTCTTCACCTTGCTGCAGTAAAGTACAGGTGTGCTCCAAGACCTGTGACATAATTGTTGGGTGTGGTTACAGGTCTAACAGAGCACACCTCTGTCCATACCCTCTGGATGTGAAACATACGTGAAACTTTCAACCGGAGAGGGCAGCACTGCTTTTCAGCCTGGTGTTAAGTTAGTCTTTGAAGAGCAAGTCACTCAATTCCCAAAAAAACAAAGGGGAAACATTTCCTCAGTTCCCCAATAATGTCTAGCCATTCAATAGATTATCTGCCACCAAGCAAATACAATGGTAGTGAATGAATTTTACTTCGTCGCTCAAGGCACTGAAACATTGGAAAATACTGCTACTAAACTTTCTACCAAAGAAATAGTCCAAAAGAATGTTTTGAAACAAACACATATTTATTCACCTTCATTTTGAATATCAAAAAAATGTAAGTCTATAAAACTGAAAGTATCCAAAATTACAGTGAGTGTAATGGCAGGAACAAAAAACTGTAGTGTGGGATTTTGCAAAAACTGACTACATTAACAAAAATCGAGCTTTAGATCAGGCAGGCGACGAAGTCGAGCTCAGCTCAGAGTATTTGCTGCTGCTCTCTCTGCCTCAGGCGTTCCATGTATGCACATGGATGGGCAGGGAGGTGCGCTCTCCCTGTCTTATGGCTTTTCACACAGGCACGTGGACGGGCAGAGATGTTCCAGAACAGAGCCACACCTACCAAGGAAATCAAAATAACACAGTCACGTCGTTTTCATACAGCAGGGATTTATGTTCTAAATGAGGTCAAACTGAGAAAACGGCAGCAAACCTCAGTTAACAAGGGTGCTGTCATTGTGTGAGTGGGGCCTTAAAGGGAATGAGAGTAGAAGTAGTACTTTGTACACATAAATCTGAGAAAGGCGTGAGGAACATCTCAAAATGCCAGTAAGTTAGTCTGCAAACATGTTAGTATTTCCACCGGGCCGATCTAATGAAGAGGTCTTATCTGTGTATTACAGTGTGTGGAGTCAGATATCAGGATCATAACAGACAGTTTGTCTGTGGAATCTGATCAAAACTGTTGGAATGCCACAGGATAAAAAGTCATGTACAAAAGGAAGTGTGTGTGTGTGTGTGTGTGTGTGTGTGTGTGTGTGTGTGGTTTCGATTAAATAAATGGGAAACACAAGTACACACAGACCCGTGCGCAAACAAACATGCATGTTGTTTCATCAAACCCTGTGTTTATTTTGAGAGTAGATTATAGGGTAATTTCACAGCTCATTTGTTTCAAATAGAGCCAATAGAAGAGCTGTAGTACTTGAGTGCTGCTCTGACATCAGAGAGAGCAGCTTTGATTGGACAATACTGATGAGTGCGTACGTGTGTGTGTGTGTGTGTGTGTGTGTGTGCGCGCACTCGACAGAGGACAAACCAGGGGAGGTTGGCATCATCGTGGCCCTAGCCATGCTCATCCTGGGGACTTTTCAATGGGCTATCATCACCAGCATCACTGTAGACGGACTGGTATGTGGAACACACACACACACTCAAGACACGACTAGCATTAAAATACCACACAACCAATGGCCATTTAAGAGTGTGTCAAGCGTTACAAAAACACACATAGATGAGGATTTGCTAAACATGTATGGGTTCGTTTTTTAACACCTGTGTCCACAATGAGATCTCTGCAACTAGTTCAGAATGTTTCTGCCCATCTGGTGTTCAACCTTCCCACATTTTCCCACACCACACCAGTTCATTCACTGTTCATGACACCGACTCCCTGTTGAAGTTTGCATGCAGTTTAAAACTTTGGTGCTGGCCTTTCTGCCCCCAAAACACAACAAAAAGCCTCTCTGGACATTTGGCTGCCCCGCTGCAAAAAGGATCCTGTGGTCAAAACTCTTCTTGGTTTTGGCCCCAAAATGTGGAAGGAACTCTCAGTTGAAGTTAGGATAGCAGAGCGACTGCACATCTTTTACTGTAGACTGAAAACCCAACGACTACACTTCAAAAACCCTTGCTTGTTAGCCGTCTTATTTCCTAAAGAAAGGGCGAAGGCAAAACGCAACTCAGACTTTCTACTGGAAGTCAATGAGCAGGTCCTCTGGATCAGTGGATTTCCCCCCATATTTTTACACAATTTGGAAACACAGTCCCCTCCACTCTGCAGTCTTATCACTTTTTTAAAAACTGTTGGCCTTTGAATGATACAGACAGTGTGCTACCTCAGTGACACAGGATGTCACCAGACGCTTATTTTAAACAGCCAGACAATGACAGCCATGACAATGAACCCCAAATTACTTATCATATGTGCTTGGGGTCATTTTGGATAAAAACGTCCATCAGAGTCATTTAGTGTAATGTAATTAATACAGATATGAGGGCTTTTGGTAATAGAACGTTGCTTTTCTCTGTCTTACAACCCCTTACCATTATTCAAGGCGGATTGTAGAGGGCGAGGGTAAAAGGAAGAGCAGGGTATCTCAGCAGTTTGCAGCAACTCCCTGTGTTTAGTTTGCTTTTGCTGAAACATTACTTGACTAAGTAAACTATCTGTAAAATGTCAGTCTTTCATGATCTAAGTTAACAGTCCTGTTTTCAGCCTTATGAAAATGTATGTTTCAGAAATTTCAATGGGTTTTAATAGGATTTATTTAGCAGATTAAGCTGGAAAAAATTATCCTTTAAGAAACACCTTATCTTTCATTTGGGAAAATAATTCAAACTGGTTTCACAAGAACTATATTTCAGTCAAAACAAAAAGACGTACAGCAGGATATAAACAAGGTGCTGATTTACAACAGAAAATCAGAATTTATTCTACTGTTGAATATCAGGAGCAGTGGTGATCTGTGGTTGTAGAAAAGCCGTCATGTGATGGAAAACTTCACCAGACAAGCTTAGAAATAGTTTTGGAAAGGTGCCTCAACAACTTAATGGAGAAGAGTAGTAGACTGCATTTATAATGGGGTAACTCCCAGCAATCCTCAGCTCTCCTCTCTCTCTCTCGCTATCTCTCAGATGCGTTCAGTGGATCGGGTGTTCAAATTCATCGACCTGCCATCAGAGGAGCCGCTGCCTGGGAAATCCAGAGGTAAAGGAGGCCCAGATCTCATCATTGACAACCCTCATGCCCAAGAATGCTGGCCCAGTCACGGCCACATGGATGTCAAGGGCCTCACTGTCAAATACACGGAGGCTGGACGCGCAGTGCTCAGCGACATCTCCTTCTCTGTGGAGGGTGGGCAGAGCGTAAGTCCATAGTGATGGGTAAAGAGTGTGTGTGACTGGATTTTAATGAAACTTGGCAGAGTGATACATGTTAGCTCTGCTTCGGGTTTTTAAAACACAGATTAGCCCAAGAGGGGCGCTGCTATTAAAGGGTCAAGCAGGGTCATAGAAAGGTTGTAGCAAGGTGACACGCTGTCCAGCTGGAAGGCTGTGTAATGTGTGGAGACATGTTTACTGTTTGCTTGTTTTTATTTGTTTAAATCTGCTATAATCATTGTTTTTATTTTAACACTAGATCAAATGACTGTGTGTGTGATCATTATCACCACTTCTGCAGTTCTCTTTAATTCTACTGAATGATTCAGCGACTTGCAGCTCATTATTTTGGTATTCTGGCTGCAAATTTATGGTTTCAGTCTCACTTTGCTCATCATTGTCATTTCCAGATGCAGCTTAGTAGCTTCAGTAAAGAACTGATTAATTAAAAAAAATAACTGGAAAAAAAAAATTTTTTGGCAGAGATTCCAGTTTTTATTATCGTTTATCAATATTCAAATAAACAAAATGTCATTCCTGTCTGGGGCCAAAGTACAAACAAAACCACAAACCATGCAACACAATATAGACAAATTGGCAAGACCATAGGGGAGTTATGTAAATAACAACAAAACGTGATTAAAATTAAATGACTAAATGAACAAGCACAGCGTGAGTAAAAACAACAGCAATAACATTAGTGACCAATGCTTAAATTATTTCTGCTAGAAAACACTTTTTTTCAAACTCATACATGCACTCATACATGCACTCATACTGACACTCGTATATCCCTTGTATCTGGATTTCTAAAGCCTTATGCTATTTAATTAGGGCAGATGAAGTCAGGTAGTAGTGGCCAAATAGCTTTTCGGTGGAAAGAGAGAAAACACTTATTAACCGCTCTCCCCCTCTCTATGCTCCTGGCAGTTATTATAGTCCGTATGAGCTCCTCGTAATGAATCCTGGAGGACAGCAGAGTTCAGTAAGTGTCAGCACTTTAGGCTCATCCTATTAGCTACTGTATGGCCTCTTGATAAATGGGCTAATTGATGCCGCAAGAATAAGGACAGAGCTTTTAGACTGTTAAACACCTCAAGGCAGCAGAGCCATTAGTGTACACAGTATTCTCCAGGTATGCATACTTTGATAGATGCATGCACACAAGGACACCAGATGCAGCATTTCTAGAACATTGTGAATTAGTCAGAGGTCACATCATGCTTTTTTTTTTTTTTCTCTTTCCTTTTTTGTGTTATATATACCTAAAGTCTACTCCCATTGGGAGTTACAATCAACAGTTCAATTGTAGCCCAGCCTTTACTTCCGTAACTTATCTGCTTCACTATGTAACGCTCGCCTAGTGGCTAGTGTGTGTGAGTTGCAACACACACAGTGACGAGACTTCATGTTTGTTTTGGATCACACTACTTTGCTTGTCAGGACCCGCCCCACTGTGCTTCTGACTGACTAATTTATGTCTCCTCGTGTCCTCAATCCTCGATCCTCTGCCTGTGATCTGGAAATCAATCTCGCGCCATCTTGAAGGACATCTCAATTCCTAAAATGCACCTCGCGGATCGAAGAGGCGAGGAGGAATAAACTGAAATAATGAGAAAGGCCTTTGTAGTCCTTACATAGGTACTGTCCATGTGCAGCTCCCAACAAAGATTGAATAGAAGTGAGATGTCTCACTCGGTAGCTAAAAGAGAGCATTCAACACAAAGGGTGAAAAGAGATGTTACAGCAATGTGCAGTATGAAAGAAATATGGTGTTTTTTGAAAATTAAACTATGTAAACCTGTTCTGGTACAACCCTAAATAAAATTATGAACATAATATGACCTCTTTAATTAAGCTTTTTAATTACCTAAAAAGCTCTAAAGGTAACATTTATCAATTTTTTCTGTTCTGGGTGTGTGTGTAGATGGGTCTGCTGGGTCGAACAGGTTCAGGGAAGAGCACCCTGCTCTCCGCTCTGCTGCGTCTCGCCTCCACTGACGGAGATATCTCCATAGACGGCGTCTCCTGGAGCTCTGTCTCCCTGCACACATGGAGGAAGGCCTTTGGAGTGGTGCCGCAGGTACGTCTATGACTGCAGAACCGCTCTTCAACAAGCCACACGTGGCAAACACAGTTAAGATAAACTACAAAGGTGAAGGTGAATGAGAAAAGCATTTCAATCATATTTCAATAAAACTAATATCATTATGGCAATATATCTTTTTTTTATCTTAGATCAGAAACATAAACATCAAGAGGTCTTTAACCAAGTAAAGTTGATTCCATTTTCACTGGAAAGCAGCATTATTACTGCCATTGTAACTGATCCAAATTATTGTTATGAGAGTTTTAATTTCAAGGTAATTTTTCCAATCAAATCCCTTGACTGTGTTTAATTGTTTTCTCTGGTCTGCTTTAAACAGAGAGTCTTTATTCTGACCGGCACGTTCCGGATGAACCTGGACCCACATGGACGTCACAGCGATGAGGAGCTGTGGAGGGTAGCAGAGGAGGTGAGGTTCTCTTATATTTTCCTCTGCTGTCTGCTATCACATTGGTAATATTAGAGTACAAATAATGCAAAGAGATCAGTAAAGTATAGTAAAGTATTAAAAGTAAGAGGGTAGCTGAACAGGTCTTATAATGTATATCCAAACCAAAACAACACTAAATATGTCCTGCAGTGTCAGAATCTGCTTATTAAATGAAACCACAGTGTCAGTAGAAGAAAGGCTGTCTTTAACCTAATGGTTCAGGTTTAATGCCACATTCTTATTCAGAGATTTTTCTCTAGGAGTGAACCTGACCTCTGAGACAAATCTTCCCCTCCGTGTTGGTCAGTGGAGTGAATAGAAATCTGTCCTGTGTGTCCTCAGGTCGGTTTGAAGTCCGTGATCGAGCAGTTTCCAGACAAGCTGGACTTTCAGCTGGAGGACGGAGGCAACGTGTTGAGCAACGGACACAAACAGCTGCTGTGTCTCGCCCGCTCCATCCTCAGCAAGGCCCGCATCCTGCTGCTGGACGAACCCTCCTCCTACCTCGACCCCATGTCAGTATTAACGCAAAACTCTCTAATCACTGTGTGTGTGCGGTTATGTCTCAGTCGTAAATGTGTGTACAATAATCGCAAAATTATCTATATCTATATATTGGATTCAAAACCTCTGCTACTTGTCTAACTTTAATCAGAGACTTAATACAGCACTTTGTTGTGAGAAACCTGCAGACAGTCTCGGATAGACTGAGCGTCTGCATACACCTCCTGTCTGCCTGTGTTACTGCGGTCTCTTGGACATTTGTCTTTTTTGCTCCCTGTGTGGTTTTGTATAATGTACGTATGCACTTTATGCAAGCTTTAACAAACTGTGTGTGTTTGTGTGTGTTTCATCCTGTGAAATAAGGTCACAGTGCGGAGTCTGTCCGAAGTCACCCAAATCCAACATGTGTGGCATTCTTGTCATTGCATATGGTTGCAATCTAGAGTGCTTACAGTAATTCTGACCTACTGTATGGGGGTGGTGTGTGTGTGTGTGTGTGTGTGTGTGTGTGTGTGTTTGAGAGTAAGCATACGTGCAGAGGGGGGTCACAATGGTAATGAAGCTTATAATGAGCAATGTAGTTTATCCTGAGGCCAACGCTGCCTGCTCTCTTTCATGTCAGCCTCAAAAGGAACAGAACGCTAAGCTAATGTGTTAGCAGTAGAGAGAGACGATGAGGATGATCATGTCTGTTTGTGTGTGGGTGTGAGCAGAACGTTACAGGTCCTGAGAAAGACGCTGAAGCAGGCGTTCTCTGGCTGCACAGTCATCCTATCAGAACACAGAGTGGAGCCGCTGCTGGAGTGTCAATCATTCCTGGTAAGTTTCAGATTAAATAGTCATTTTTGCAGATAACTTCTGCTAAAATCGAGTGTCTGGTAAAGTCGAGTCTATTCTGCCCAGACAGTTTTCACAGTTTTATCAACATTTTAATGGTCAGGTGTTTGTAAAAGCTTTCGAAACTCAACCAGCTTTCATTTACGTAGCTTGCTGAAGTGATAAGAAATTAAACAGCACTCCCTTTTGATGGGTGTGGGTGTGCACACGTACGTTGGAGTATTTGTGTTGGAACAAGCAGCTGGCGTGATGGTAACATGAGGGAAGTGACCTCAGTGTTACTACAGAGTGAGAAGCGGTCACCAGGACTAAGAGCAATGTTTGTATTTATGTGATAAATATTTATATATGAAAATCTACCACCGATACCACCAGCTAGTAGAACCAAAGTACATTTTAGTACAGATGCTTTGGAGTCCTCCTGGTGTTTCAGTGGTTCAAGATGATTCTATTCAACATGTTTACACTCAGAAAACAAAAAACATTTTGACTTTCAATGTCTGGTTCAACTCCAAGGACCCTTTATCTACTGTAGTTCATGTTTCGTGTCACTCTCTACTGTCGACTCTGTAAGGCAAAAAAACAGTAAAACAAAGTAGGTTTTGCTTCAGATTACCTGAACTAAACCTGACAGCTGTCTTACTTTACTCAAAGACTTTTCTCACAGAACAGAAAATTCTGCAGTTGCATATTAGATGTGTTTGTTTATGGCTGTGAATGTAAAGTGGACCTAATGTAGGGAAGGTTTGATTTGTTTTGTACAAAGTGAAAGCTACCAATCACATCACAGCCCTCACACACTGAACACTGCATTTCCAGATTTCCAGTGATATTCAGATTTAGTATTTAATTTATGTGACTTTTTCCAGATATTTGAAAGCAAACTGAAAAGACCAATAGTTTATGCCAGTCATGACGTTTTTCATACAAAGACTGGAAAATAATTTACTTTACAATGAGTATCCTGCTTTATTAAATCTTAAACATCATATTTTCCAACAAAACTGATTAAAAGCCAAGATAAACAAATAACCAACTTCCCCTCCCTCCCGTCTGTCCAGATGATCGAGGGCAGCTCCATGAAAAGCTACGACTCCATCCAGAAGCTGCTGAATGAGACGAGTCACCTTAAACAGGCCATGAGCCCCGCGGACCGGCTCCGTCTCTTCCCGACCCTTCACCGCCTCAACTCTAGCAAGAGGGCGGCACCGCAGACCGCCAAGATCTCGTCCCTGCCAGAGGAAGCTGAGGACGAAGTCCACGACACTCGCCTCTAACTGGCCAGGCACACCAACACACACGCCAGTAACTCTAAGCAACGATTGAACTAGTGATACTGATAATTTGGGGTGGCCAAATTACCCCTGAAACAGCATGTAGATCACTATGGGATACTAAAACTCTCCACCAGTGCTCAGACAAATACTTTTATTCAATAGACAAAAATTAAATGTGTAAAGAAAATATAAATCCAGCTCAGGTTTTCCATCATTTTGACATAAAACAAAATTTAACTATTTATACTTTATAAAAATACACTTTTGACCATTATATATTTTTTTAACCCCCAAACACATACAGTATATTGTACACATGCAAATTAGCATATGGAGACACAAGTACAGATGACACACAGCAAACACATACATTAAAAAGAGCAAAGAGCATCTGGCTTCACACACAGCTGTTTGACATCCACTTTACTGTCCGATAACGAGGTTCATGTATGGAGCTCATTTACTGAAAGACATTTACACCAATATACAAGTGGTAGAGGGTGTTTTGCACATGTGTAATAAAATGTTCTATATCTGAATGTTTGTATGCTAACAGCCCTGCATATATATATTGAATGAACATGAGTCAGGTGTGTACAGTGCAGAATGCGGAGGCTGAGGTTACAGAAATAGAACTTTAATATTACAAGTGTGCGAAACTTAAGAGCAACTCTGCATGTTGACCTACACAGTACAACATAGCTGCAAGTTTAGAAAAGATATTAGTAAAAACATTTGTATGTCGCAAAAACTCTGCAGTTTGTCAAATTAAAGCATTTGTTGTAAATTAGAAAAATAATAATAAACCACAGTGTGTATGTGCTGCAGGATCTTGCTTCCAGAAGCATGGAAGATAAAATCCTCCACGTGAAAGGGACCCTGGGAGCAGAGCAAGATGTCTAACTAATGTGCCACTGACAAATTAAGCACATGACAACATGCCCCAAAATCTAATTGGACGCCTTGTTTGTTGAACCATTTCAAGTGCCTTTGCAGGTCGGGTGTTTTTGGGTCCCAACAAACAGTGTGAGGATTCCTACAGTTCAGTTCCAAACCATTGTATTTGCCTTGAAAAAGCATGACTTGTGTTGTTTATTTGCAATATTGTTTAAAAAAACATTTGCATTGGTTTGAACTAAGGGATTATTTCACTTCACTGAAGACTTCAGTCTCTTTAGATTGTTGACTGAACACAAAATAGCAGCCACTGTAGAAGTCTGACTTATTTATGCATCTTACATGACGGTGTGATCAGATTTGGAGCTTTTCTTATCTGTACAACTACAAAGTGTAGCTATGAGAATGACAAGCAAACAGACCAAAAGAACTCATCATAGCCATAGCAAGAACTTTACTGTTAACCATTTTAGCCTTTACCCATGCTAAAAAACAATCCAAAGCAGGAGTGGCAATAGAGCTTGCTCAAGGCACCCTGTACAACCATCAACCTTCCAGTTTCATTGAATAAGAATTGAATTGAAGTGAAGACAGCCTGTCTGTCACGTTGCAACTAGGGATGCATTGATCCGATATGGATATCGGATATCTGCCCTTTACTGACTCAAATTGTGTGTGTACTATGCAATGCGTTACACATAAAATAATGATTCCTGTCTCCTCCTCACAGTGAGGAATACTGCTTAATAATATTGCACCGGTAGAAGCCCAGGTACTGGTATCTGAATTGGGACTGAATAAGTTGCATCGGTGCATCCCTAGTTGCAACATAGGCTCGAGTCATTGTCGATTAAACAGATTCAGTAGTGCTAACTGTACTTCCTGCTGGCGAGTGTTCTCAGAAACAATGTCCAATTTGAATTAAATATCACACGACTTTGAAACATAAAATAAGTATTTATTGGATAAGGACAAAAATGTAATTGTGAGTTTCGCTACATAGTGAAACTGCTGCTACCAAGTTGCCCGCAAACTGACACAGAGACATAAATCAATCACCATATTGGTATACAAATCGACCAAAAAATTTTAATGCAAAAATCAGCTCTTCGGGGAATTAAGGCTGCAGCAGCAGCAGTTCTGCAGCTAAGAGTATGACTTCTACAGTGGCTTTATGTGGATTGTGCTAAAATATCTTGTGATTATTTGGTTTGATTATGTTTGGTTAGTCAGTCTGACCCTGCACTAACTTCACTACCGTCAACACACATAAACAGGAATAGTGACGCTGTTGGCTGACACTAGTCGAGTGATGACTCAGATACCCTTATCTGAATGCACTTTAGAGACACCCTGAGGTACTCATCAGCTTTCACAGTCAAAAGACTAAATGCTGTACAGTTTCCATTTCTCCATTAAATTAAGTATAAATGTAGAATTGTGACCTTTTGATAAAAAAGAATGCTTTTTACATACACTTTTCAGCCTCTGTTACTCAATGAATTATAGAGGCCAGTAATTCATCAAACTAATTTACATTCTATTCCAAATTAAATATATTTTTCCAGAGCCGCTGCTGTACTGTACAAACGCAAAGCAAACATTTAGCATTTCTTTGATTTCAAGCTCTATCTGTACTCGAAACTGGAAACCATTTTGACTCTTCCAACATCACTTTTATTTTCTTCGGTTGAGTGAAGAGCGTGTTGCTCCTTTCATACTGAATAATAGTTTTGTAAATCAGTGATGCAGAAAATTAAGGTACCATGTGTTAATGCCTTGATGTGTTAACTGTGACGATTTTTTTTTTTTTTACAGAGTATATTAAGTACTCATAGGAAAGTGTAAAAAAAAAAAAAAAAATGTATTTGTTCAATCAACTATATTTCCAGTAAAACTAAAGATTTTGAGAATGTAAATGTAGTTGTGTCATTTTTGTTAAACGCCAGCATCAATAATATTAAAAGAAAATGAACTTGGGCCTTGTTCACAAGGTATTTGTGGCTCAATCTGTGATGTAACTATTCTGACATTAATTCCCATTTCTTTATCATACACAACATGGCCAAAAGTATGTAGACACCTGAACGTCACAGCCAAGTGATTGTTGAACGTGAGATTCCCAAACAGTGGGTATTTATGTGCTGCTATATTAGCCTCCACTTTTCTGGAGTGTCAGTCAGGGTCAACTGTGGTGTTGGGTGATCAGGTCTGGCCCGCAGTCGGTGTTCCAGTTCATCCCAAAGGTGTTGGATGTGGTCGAGGTCAGGGCTCTGTGCAGGACAGTCACGCTCTTCCACAATAAACTGAGGAAACCATTTCTTTATGGACTTGGCTTTGTGCACAGAGGCGTTGTCATGTTGAAACAGGAAAGGGCCAAACACGAACTGTTGCTATAAAGTTTGAAGCACACTGTCTAAAATAACATTGTGTGGTGTAGCATTATAATTTCTTCTTCATTGGAACTGAAGGGCCTAGACAAAACCAGCCCCAGGCCAGAAGGACACAAATGTGTGTGACATTGCTGTCCATATATATCTGGCCATATAGTGTATATCTTGCTTTTCTGTGTCCGTGTTTTGTCTTGGTGATTTTAAACAGTGGTAAACGTCAAGTTTTGGCATTACAATCAAAGCACGACTGATGTTTTTCTATAGATTTTCTGTCATGAGAAAGATTATAAACTGTTATAATTCAATACTTAATACCAAGTGTACAGAAATTCCTCTATACTAATTGTACACGAAATTATACATTACATGCGCTCACGGACGACAAACACTGCAAACTTTGGAATTCCAACACGACTTCCCAACGAAGCAGTCAAATGTTTAACTTTTTTGTTTTTTTAAAGATCTTTCTATAGATGTCTCACCACAGTCAGTAATTTATTTTTGACTAGCTCCTTCATTTCCTTTTATGCATGACATTTTGTATGTGTATGCTGTACCAACAAAACACTTAATTTTGTCACTTTTCCAGAGTGAATGCACTACAGTCTCAAAACCTGCTTTTTATTATTATTATGTTAATTAATTTGTGAAATAAGCTCGATGATCATGTCCATTTTCTTTCCACCTACAGTTCTGGTAAAACTCACAGCTGAATGCAAACATTCCACATCTCTTCTCTGCAGATAGATGAAAAGCATTCTGGGAAATGTTTCAAATTTATTCAAGCCAAGAAAAAGGGAAAACTGGTACCACAATTTTTTTAATATAAGAATGTCAAGAAGGATTTTTACTTTATCCAAGAGAGTACTTAAAGATTACAACAAAAGATCCCAAACTTGTGCGCATTAGTAAAGAAAAGTCATCTTTTGGCTTCGGGGGCTCTGTAAGGTCCCGTGTTTGGCTAAAAATGAAAAATCCAGAAGAAAAGAACAGAAAAAGCCGGCTGGGGATTTTTAACAGTGCCATTTTAATGTTTGTGTTTGAAAGACAATTCTTTAAACTGCAAACAACTATCGTACAGATTAAAATCATAGGTTGACTAAAATCTCTCCTGTACATATGTATAGATATATATATATAAACAATGTCCGATTTAAAATAAAACTTGTCCTTTAAAAGTAAAAACATAAGAACAGTGATAATGGAAAGCAAAAAATAAAGTATGAATTACACAGTAGGGCTCAGCTGGGGTAAATTGAACATGACTCGGAAATGATGGACATTTAAAATATTTATTATGGCTTACAGTTGATTGAGGACATCCTGTGTTTATACAGTTCTATTACTTATTGCCACAACTCCTTCACTTTGAAACAAGTGAAGGCTTCAGAACCAAACTCATTTTACAAACATTATGTACAAGTTTTCTTTTTTTCAGCAGTTTTGCTTTAAGGTTTTGTCACTGTACAAGCGTCATACCACATACACCAATCTATAGAGCATTTAAACGTACTAATTCTTATTTACAAATATATTTGGTAAAACCCTGATTAATTTCAACAGTATTTAAACCAACCTTGCTATTTAAAGATAAAACACTTGAATATCTCAAATACTTAATAGCAAAAACAACAAAATAAAATAAAACCCAGCTTGTTTCTTTCTTTGATCCAAAAACACTTAACTAAAAGGCTGTAAGTACCTTCAGTT